GGTGTTCACAATGTGTTCAACACATTTCCATTTTACTTGTTACATTTTAGTCATTTAGCATACGCTTTTATCCAGAGCGATTTACAGGAGCAATTAGGGTTAAGAGCCTTGCTCAGGGGTACAGAGATTTTTCACCTAGTTGGCTCGGGGATTCGAGCCAGCGACCTTTCGGTTACTGGCCCAACAGTCTTAACCGCTAGGCTACAACTTGGATTAGTTCACTGCTTGCCTGAGGAAAATATGTGATAGACCTATTTTTATTTTCTACCAGCTAGTGAACAAAATTTTTTTGTGTGATCAAATGTTTTTATTGTTTTTAGTAAGGTACATAAAACAAGCACACATGGACAAAGTGACAAGACCGTACAAGACAAACAGTTCCCATCCCACGCCCCACTCACAGGACTTCCAAAGTAAGATTATTTGTTCACAACAGCAGTCTTTTTACAGTCATACACTGATGAAAGAGCAAATATGTTTATTTTACTCAGCTCATGCATACGTGCTAAAGATATTTCCATGTTTATAATATCCATGAATGACAGCAGCCACTGCTGTCTGTTTAAAGAATGAGGAGCCTGCCAACGTGAGGCTATCATCTTTTTGGCTGCTGTTAATCCAGCCAGCCAAATACGTTGCTGTTTGACAGATGGGTCTAAAGTAGCGTCATCATTTAACAATAAAATAGATGGTGAACATGGTACATTTCTACACATATCAGAGAGACAGGATGAAACAACTCCAGAAACATAAAACCTCTGGGCACTCACAAACCATATGAACAAATGTGCCAGGAGCCCCCTGAGGGCACAGTGAGCAATTTGGGGATTTTCTAGCTTTCATCTTGAATAGTTTGCATGGTGTGCAGTAAGTTCTATGGGCAAAATTGTAATGTATCATTTGGTGGTAGGGTTTTCTTGATGAAATGTATATGTTGGACCAAACTCTGGTCCAATTGATCACAATACTACAGATGGAGTTCTTTCTTCCATGAAGCACGGGGAGGGAATGGTTTCTGAATCATTTTAAGCAGCAGAAAATGTAATTTAGAGACCAGTGCCTGTGTACTACTATGAATAAATCATTTGTGGATTGGATGGAGAGGCCATTCTTGCTGCCAGGAGACTACATATGCACGTAAAGCAAAACAGGGCTTTAAGTAAAAGAAAAAGGATGTGCCAAGTAAGTTAAATTGTTTCTGGAAGTCTTGGAATGCACAGAGAGGGTAGGCTTCAGTAATATCTGCTATAGTATGAATCCCTCTTTCAGACCATTTAAGAAAAGAGATGCGACGACAACCTAGGTGGAGAGCGTGGTTGTGAAATAAGGGAAGGTGAGGATGGTATTTGAGATTGGTTTTGGTATATTTACCAACCAGGCGCCAGACTGAGATAAGTTGTGAGATGATAGGGCTGAATTTGAGTTTGCAGTGTTTGAGCGGGATATCAGAATGGATTATGTCTTGGAGTCTGCGGGGCAACTCGTTTTTCCTCCAGAGGGAGCCAAGAGGCAGCTGTAACATGATTTAACCATGAATACAGAGGGCATAAAATGAAAGGCCAAAAATGTAATTTGAAACCTGCAAATTTTTCACACCGAAGTGTAGAGAATTTAATACGAGGGCATTTACTCTTCCAAATGAATTTAGCAAGTAATGAATGTAGCCTATCCCAGTATCCTGCCGGTGGTGAAAAAGGGATCATGGAATTATAAAAGTTGATTCTTGGCAACATATTCATTTTAATTATCGAGACTCGAGCCAGAAAGAGTTTGGGATTTGCTCCCATCCTTCCACATCAGACTATGCTTCTTAAGATGGTGTTGAAGTTGTTTTGAGTATTGATTGCAAAGAAGGATATATTTATATTCCCAGGTAGTGAAAATGTTGGACTCTGGGGATTTTTAGGGGCAGCTGTGAATTACACATTGCCTCATTCAGGGGTAAGAAAAGCAGATTCTGTCCAGTGGATTTTATATCCAAATATAGAGTTGAAGTTATCAAAAATGCTGAGAAGGTTAGGTAATGACTGAGGTACATTGCCAACATACAGCAGTATATCATCTGCATACAGAGATATGTGATGGTCTGTGCCAAGTGCAGTAATGGGGTCATGATATTGTGATTGTCAGACAGCTTGCGCAAGAGACTTTAGGGATAGAGCAAAAAGCATTGGACTTAAGAGGACAACCCTGGCAGTTAGACTTTAACACTTTTTTGGTTACTACGTGATTCCATATGTGTTATTTCATAGTTTTGATGTCTTCACTATTATTCTACAATGTAGAAAATAGTAAAAATAAAGAAAAACCCTTGAATGAGTAAGTGTTCTAAAACTTTTGACCGGTAGTGTATATTAACATTTTCGTGCATCACATCCAAATTATCTAAAAGTAACATCATTGAGTTACACAATACATTTGTAGATACTTTAGGATGATGTGGATATGAAGCGTGAAAATGCTAATATAGGTACCATTGAATTGCATTGGAAATGTGTCACAAATGCTAAAAAGTTTGAATTTGAAACAGTGGACAACAAAACCAAAGCGTGGATTGTTGTCATACCTTGCCCATAGACTGCTTACAGGGTAAGGAAACCAATTGTAATTTAGTAATTTGGGTGAACTATCCCTTTAACATCTTAAAAAATAAATAAACTGGAACAGCACCATCTAGTGGTCAGAACCTGGTAATATTAGGATGTAGGATGAGACATAAACCTAAGAACTTAAACTACTAATTTTTCTGAATATGGGAAAAAAAACATAACCAAATTCACTGGGAATACATTCCATAGGATTTCAAAACAATACACAGAGCCGCAGCTCCATACTACTTGTCAGACATAGAACTAATACTATATACTCGTTGTTAGGGTGGGATTGGCATGGGGTTTAGGGGGTCCGTGGGTGGCTTTAGACCATTTATTTGGATTTCCCATGTCTAACTCATTGATAGAAAAAAGTTTGTTCCAAATTAGATGTTAGGTACTATATTTATTGAATATTATATGAATCCTATAAATTAAAATGGTCAATTTGGGTGCACTCAATTAGCTTAATTTCTCAGAGATCAAATGATATTTCAACAAAATAATGTTGCAGGAATGCTAATCTTATGTTTCTAACAACAGAATCTATTTCAGAACAATCTGAGATGGTGGGTGTCGAAATCCTCTCTCGTGCTTTTTGAAGTGGAATGAAAACAGTAAACATGTCATCCCCCACGAATGATACAGCACCCACCCCCTTGGGCCAATTGAGATATCGCGTGTGACTAACAAATTCCAGTTAATTACTATAGCTCCCAACTAGGGGCCAAAATTGGCCCAGTGCTGTCTGAGATATCGCGGAGACAGATCCACAGTCCCCTCCCCGATTTCATCATGGGGGACAAAAAGACATGGTATCAATAACAAGATACAATGAGCTAAAACGAACCACCTATGATTCCCCACATGGCAGCTTCTTGTTATTTTTGCTAGCCATCTGACGTTCAGAATTATAAGGACGAGGCTATACGGGCAAGCCGGGTGCCCGAAATTGATGACGTACAGTATATCCCGCAGCGAGAATTGAGTGGGGATGAACGGATTCGATTCAGTCAATCTTCCTAATGAGCCCTTATCAGCTAGCTAGTTTATGCTTGTGGCTAGAAACTTCAGCGAGAATTTGAAACTTGTCTGCTGAAGTTTTTATAGGAGTAGGTCAATGTTGTAGTTATAGGCCTCCTTTTTTGGTGAAAATCACTACAATAAATGTGCTTTAGCTGTCACCCTAATCTGATATTGGCTACACTCTCTAGCTACTTCCCTCGCCTCTCCTTACTGCAGGACAGCAGTCCTCACCAAGCGGGAAACACTGTGCCCTTGCCTGGAAACCCAACGTTGAATTCCATAGAATTCTACATCGGGCAGAAATTAGCGTTTGAATCAGGAAAGTTTTCCTCTCACGACCTCTACAAGCCAGAATTTTTTATAAAATTATATTTTAGCGTACTTTACCGGTTGTCTGTGCAGTTGGTCCTTTTGGCAGTAGGAATGCGAGACAATATATCCACAGGAAAGTGCAGTTACGTCAACTTTTGAAAGCGCTCGTAGTGCATTCTAATTTCTATCACCTGTAGCATGCACAGAACCATGTAAACATGTGCACGAGCTTGGCAAGTTTTATCTTGTACAAGCTCCATGGTGTCTTAATGTAACCATGATTGAGTTCCGACCCCAGTGCAGCTCAGTGTAGACAAGCATAATGGTAGGATCGATATCTTCTGGCAAGGGTATCTAGATAAATCAGTGCCGCGTGCCCCGAGCAAAGAACTCAGATTCGAGCCAAATGACTTACCTTTAAGCACGAGCAGCGCCTATTCTCCTTAATTAGTGAGCTAGCGATCCAGCAAAAGTTGATGCATGAAAGATATTTGACATCTTATTTCATACTCACTTTTTGACTTGAAATGCATCAGGTGTGCAGTCAGAAAAGCTCCGATGCCAGTCAAACAGACCTAGAAATCGCGTGTGTGGTGTTCGATAGGAAAGTCCTTGCCTCCGAATGATGGAGATGTGCAAGACACCTGAAATTCCTTCAGCAATTTCACTAATGCAAATCCCAGTTGTCGTTTTCTTACTGCTCTGCTGATGAATAGCTACGGAATTTAACAATCCTGGAAATTTGCAACTCTCGGGATATAAGAGAAAATCTGTGCCTCAGGCACATAAAAGCACTGTGATAAACCTTTGATATTGTATGGCAGTCGAAAGAAACCAAATTATGTTGAATCCACTGGGTCTATCTGCGTTTGGGATATTTGATTGATTTTGATATCCCACAGCCCTGAACACTTTGTTTGTTTTATTATCTTGTATCTTGATTTCTGTCCAATTTCTACATCAATTATAACTAAGTCATGCAGTGTTTTAGTGTGGGTCCCGTTCCACACGAAAACGCAGGGATATAATTCGGTTGGCCGGCTGGTGGAGCTCCATTTTCTTTTTTGCCAAGTTCAAAGTTCGCAGGGAAACAACAACAAAAAAGCAGACATCAATGTGCTAGCTAACTTAGTTTAGTAGTTTGTTTCTACCTCAACTAATTTGACGAAATGACATCTGCGTTATCTAAACAAAGTTTGTTGTTCACGACATTTAGTCTTGCTTTGACCGGGTTTTCATTCTGCTCAGTTGCAGATGCTAACGTTAATTCAAACATACCTGCGATTGCAAATTATTTCGGAACGAAAGGCAGATATGAGGAAGTTAACCCCTATCTCATTAATGACATCCTCTCGGTAAACAAATCCCTTTTAAAACCGGGATGTACCGATTGCACGGCTATTCATGTGACCGCCATAATTCGGCATGGAACACGATATCCAACGACCAAAAATATCAAAAGGATGCAACGGCTTTACGACCTTGTTCTAAACGACGCAATGAACACTGATAAATGGCTGAATGAAATCAAAACCAAGTGGGAAATGTGGTACACTGACGATATGGATGGCAAGCTTGTGGAGAAGGGGCGAGATGACCATAGGCATCTGGCTGTCAGGTTGGCAACATTGTTTCCATCTTTGATATCAGAGGAAAACCTCAGGAGCCAACGTATCCGTTTCATCACTAGCTCCAAACACAGATGCGTGGACAGCATTGTAGCTTTCCAAGAGGGTCTACTCAACCTTTGGAAAGTGACAGGTGAGTTTGTTGAGTAAAGCTAGTTTAGTCGTTTTACTATTCCCTGAATTATAAATATGCCTGGGGGTATCACACTCAGTCACTCACACTGATCACCAGTGCTTAATTTTTTTGCCTGGCCGAACAGGATCCGGCACCTCTCAGATTTGACTTTGTTCATTCCGGCAACTATTTTCCCGGATCCGGTACCTGTCGCGTCATTATTTATTAATTCTTTCACTGTTCGCACTGTAAACATTCTACTAAAAGCGATCAGCGTTGAATTAAGTTGCCTCGTTATTTCTCCCGCCCCCCAGAAAGACCGTCATGTAAAAGCGCGGTGATCCTTCTGCGTATTCATCCTATCCTGCAACACTGATTCCAAATCCAATTTTATTGGTCACATATACACATATTTAGCAGACGTAATTGCGGATGTAGCGAAAAGCTTGTGAGAAATAATACACACACAAAAATAAATACTGCAAGGTTGCTTAGGAGCTAGAAGGAGAGCTGCCATGTCTGTCGGCGCCATAGACCCGAGCTGTGTTCGAATACTCATACTAACCGTACTATTTGTGACCTAAATTTAGTATGTAGTATGCTTATTGATCATTTAAGTAATAATGCCCAAGAAGTGATAATGCCCGAGAAGCCGGTGTTTGGAGGATATATTGGCACAGGTGTTGTTAGGTCCGAGACGTTAGGCCACTGTAAATGTTAGTCTAAAAGAAATGTGAGATAATGTCTAGATGCTTTTTATAGTGGAGATCAAATTTATAAATTGCCTGGCTGATGAGTCAGATGGAACAGAGTAAATAGGCATTTTAACGGCATATCCGGTGGTAACCAATCAGCATTCAGGATTAGATCCACCCATTGTATAAAGTTCGTATGCCAAAAGTTCCCGGATGTCATACTACATTCGTCAAAATTCGAAGTATATAAGCAGTGGACACTATTTCTGTACTTTTAGGCCCTAGAATGCAATTCTTCAGAAAATGGGCGTGGCTTCACAACATTTTCAGATTTTAAGAAAATGGCAGAAAATATGCAGCCGAAGTCTGACGAGAGCCGATACAAATGTAAATACAAAAAGTAAATATTCATTGCTTTAACTAATTATGATAAATGTTAAGAAAATGTTGAGCAATGTAATAAAAAAGTAATGACTTTTCAGTGCATCCACTGAGCAGGTGCAATTTGCAGTTCAAGAACAAGCAAACGTATAACCCCTTGCTTGTCATGCAGAATTTAAAGTCGGGCTGTACAACATGCAAAAAGGTAGGGAGCTTGGGTCTAGAAACGACTGAAGGGATTAAACTGTCAAAAGAGTGGTTGGAATGTACAGTAACATCCTCTGCCTCAGCAAAAAAACAACAACAAAGAGCCCTCACCAAGGCGCATTTGGTGGCAGCAAGCCTTGTAGACAAGGCTAAAGAGGACACCCAGGGCATAGTTAACACTCAAAAAGAAAAAGTAGACACTACAGCCAGAGTTTTCCGAACAGCCTTAGGAGTCTAAACGTCACAGCTCATGACTTTGAGCAAGAAATTGATTGTCAGTAGTTAAATGGACTTGACATAGGGAGAGTCATTGTGGGAGGTTTTGAAAACTAAGGTAGGAAAAAAAAAAAAATCCTTTACAAACTTGTTCTGTACTGTGAAGTTAATCTGAATATGTGCTTAATTTTATCACATAGACAGGAGGCCTATATATTCTCATGTGTGTTCTGCTGTAGCCTACATTGATTTATTTTATTTGAAGTTATTCCGATAATGTGATATATGTTCTACTGCTACATTGATGTCTTGAAAATGATATGAAATTTGGTTCTTGTAGGCCCCACAGCTGAGTATGTGTGCATATGCATATGACGGGTGTTCTGCAGTGACGTCTAAAAATGTTGCTGTACATTGATGTCTACAAAATTAGGCTATAAGAAATTCGGACTTGTGTAAGCCCCGCAGCTATACTCAAGTATGTGGCCATAAAATGCTTTGAATTAATCAGCACCTTGGAAAGTGCTGTCCGTTTCACCACCATAGATAGGCTACTTGGCTGTTTACTCTGTCTGCTGCGCTGCTACTTTGTGTTTGAAACTTTTTTTCTCAATGTAATCCGGTACCTCAGAGCCCCACGGATAACCCCCCCCTCGCGCTCACTATGTGTTCCGGGACCTCCCAATTTACTAATTAAACAATGCTGATCACCATTAGTACAGTCTGGTGGGGGCGAGATCAGCAACAGTAATATACAATGTTTGGACTTATTATATTCTATTTTTGTCTTATTACAGAAGTTGGACCCAGCCACAAAATCAATGATGAGTTGATGAGATTCTTTGACCAGTGCAAAAAATTTGTTGAGGATGTGGAGAACAACAAAACTGCCCTGGAAGAGGTCCACCTCTTCAAGGCCTCAGCAGAGATGAAAATACTGCAAGTGAAGATGGCTGACCAACTGCAAGTTCCATACAATCACATCACACCAGGTTGCTTGGTTCCAAATCGTAACCACTTTGTGTAGTTGAGGGAGTTCATAATGTTACGGTTGAAACTTGCAATCCTCTTATGCCAGTTGAATTCATTCAATAATTCTCACTTTTTCTCACCAGATCTGGTGGAGGCTGCATTCTTCCTGTGCTCATACGAGTTTGCCATCAAATCTTTGAACTCCCCCTGGTGCAACCTGTTTGATGAGACTGATGCCCAAGTATGTCCACAGTGGGAGAGCTATTGCCTCTGCCTCATAAACAATGAAGCACCCAGTTCAGTCATACAGATCAAACCGGTCTTTCAAATTTTCATTGACGCAATCACCTGTGCCTTTTCAGGTGCTGGAGTACAAAAATGACCTGAAACAGTACTGGAAGAGGGGCTATGGTCATGACATCAACCGCAAGTCCAGTTGCACTCTTTTTCATGACCTGTTCAATCGCCTTGATCAGGCTGCTCATGAGATCAGGTGAGTTGGTTGTAAAGTTAAACCACAGTCCACACTAATTTTATTGTGTACCATGATCATATCACTTAAACACAAGTGCTTATATAGGCCAATTATTGTTATCAAGCCTGTTCCTTTGATTGTTATTAAAAAACTATTGGGTCCCTGAGGGTATATCCACCAAGTCCTCGCCCATTAATGGTTACTCCTGTTTTAAATGGGCTCTCTACAATGGAGAAAGTCATTGAAGTTAACTGTTACGTGGCAATTGGGAATATATAGTTTCTCCTTTGTTTTTCCCTCTGATGCATTTCACAGCACTTCCCTAAGTAGTTGTTATAACATTGTAATAGCATAGTAAGTGTGTGGCTGGTTGTTATCATGATTTTAGAATTGTGGATTATGCCCCCTTTTTTCCTGTTCAGGTTTGGGCATGTATCTGAGGCTGTGACCATCCAGGTGGGCCATGCCGAGACCCTCCTGCCCCTGTTGGCCCTCATGGGCTTCTTCAGAGACGAGACGCCCCTGACCGCTGACAACTTTGACATGCAACATGGCCGCACCTTCCGTACCAGCCGCATCGTGCCTTACGCAGCCAACCTGCTCTTTGTGCTGTATGACTGCAGCGAAGGCCTCCGGCTGCAGTTCCTCCTCAACGAGACACCTCAGAACTTCCCCGATATAAAGCACCAGGCTCCACTCTACGATACGGTCAGAGAGACCTACAGAGAGCTGCTGCAAGGCTGCAATTTCGAGAAGGAGTGCGAGCTGCCCAGACCCAACATAAACTCTGAGCTGTGAACTTGGGGCATATGAAGGTAGAGGGCTCTCTCTACAGGGGTTTGAAGACTCAAACTTCTATGTGTAATTCAAGAGAGAGGTTTTAAAGGTTTTCTCTGAACCAGTTACACCTTTTTTTTTTACAGATAGCTTTTACAGGGCCCCCTTTTTTTCAGATGTCACTTTAGCATGAGTTATTATGATGCTTGCTTTCTTTTCTAGGGTCAGAATCATCCAGGGTCTTTATTGAACACACTCTTTTTAGAAGAGAGAGAGCTTTATATTTATGCTATTTCATGAGTTTTTATTGATTTCTAATATATTGCAGATTTTTCAGGTGCCTTTTTGTGTTTTCGTACAGTATGTTTTTTCCAAAAGAAGAAAGAAACACTGAGTAGAATATAATGTCTGCCACTGGATAGATGGGTTGGGTTTCCTTGCTGAAAAACTATTTGCAATTGTTTGTGTTTGTAAAACATTTTGCTCTATAATATGAGTAATTTGTGTGGGCTGATTATATTTGCACTCATTTTCAGAGACATTTACACCAAAGGTTGCCTTTTTTAGATTTATTGGACTGCATTGTGAACAAAATATACATTTTAAACAATAAGCTTTTAATTTGGGGTTACCTTACTTGAGTTACTTTATTTGATTATTTTCTACATTGTCATTTGATTTGTCTGTGAAATATTTTAGATTAAAGTAAATGACTTATGAGTTTTTATTTTGACATATTTGCTTTTGTATCAAATGCAAATTTAGCAACCCATTTTAAAATCAGTAAATTATGTCATGGTTCAAATTTTCCATGACAAACAGTGGTTATTTGTAAATGGCATCAAATGCCATTCATGGTCTCTGATTTCATGGTTTTCTTTCGATTTTGCAACGGGTCGGCAAATGACCTATGGGAACTCCTTTAGGTTACTTTCATATGGAATTTCGATTTTTCAATGACTCGGAGGTGCTGTAAGTAGTTGATTTTTATCTAATCTAATCTCCTGCAGTGCAAGACGTGTCCCCCTGCTTAAGCCGGTACATGTCCAGGCCCGTCTGAAGTTTGCTAGAGTGCATTTGGATGATCCAGAAGAGGATTGGGAGAATGTCATATGGTCAGATGAAACCAAAATATAACTTTTTGGTAAAAACTCAACTCGTCGTGTTTGGAGGACAAAGAATGCTGAGTTGCATCCAAAGAACACCATACCTACTGTGAAGCATGGGGGTGGAAACATCATGCTTTGGGGCTGTTTTTCTGCAAAGGGACCAGGACGACTGATCCGTGTAAAGGAAAGAATGAATGGGGCCATTTATCGTGAGATTTTGAGTGAAAACCTCCTTCCATCAGCAAGGGCATTGAAGATGAAACGTGGCTGGGTCTTTCAGCATGACAATGATCCCAAACACACCGCCCGGGCAACGAAGGAGTGGCTTCGTAAGAAGCATTTCAAGGTCCTGGAGTGGCCTAGCCAGTCTCCAGATCTCAACCCCATAGAAAATCTTTGGAGGGAGTTGAAAGTCCGTGTTGCCCAGCGACAGCCCCAAAACATCACTGCTCTAGAGGATATCTGCATGGAGGAATGGGCCAAAATACCAGCAACAGTGTGTGAAAACCTTGTGAAGACTTACAGAAAACGTTTGACCTGTGTCATTGCCAACAAAGGGTATATAACAAAGTATTGAGAAACTTTTGTTATTGACCAAATACTTATTTTCCACCATAATTTGCAAATACATTTTTTTTTTTCATTTTGTCTGTCATAGTTGACGTGTACCTATGATAGAAATTACAGGCCTCTCTCATATTTTTAAGTGGGAGAACTTGCACAATTGGTGGCTGACTAAATACTTTTTTTCCCCACTGTAAGTTAGCCATACATAGCAACCATAGCTAGTTAGCTTGTTGTACCTGTTGTTGGCGCTTGTTGACCCGCGGTGTCGTGCCAGTCCCCGCTTGACTACCACACCAGCCCGTTGATCCAGCATTACCACTCCCTCGCTTGGAATTTTGCTGTGATCACGGAGCTCAACAGTGATGTAGGCTACCGGTCCTCGCTTGACCGAGTCCACTAACGATGAGACTGACAGTCCACCCTTGACTGTGCCAGTCAGATTGCTTCATATCAGTGGGAGTTTCGAGCCCGGACCTTGATACATATTTAGGCGGGAGTCTCGACCCCGAAACACGACTGGTTGGAGCCAATAGTAAATATAACTTTCTCTCAAAGTATCCGAAGCCGATACCGAGAGCAATCAAAGCATACACCGAGACACACCGGAACAAAAATATATTTTTTGTAACTTTTTTCTTTGAACACACTTCTCTTATGTGAAAATCCATTCTTTGCACACTGATTCAGTGCTGTACACAGGATGACGTTCCACCCATGGCAACAGTGTGAAAAACAACTCCCAGCCTCAGATGAGCACACACTTTGCGTTCTTTGCTTGGGAAATGAACATGCTCAAGCGGCTGCACAGGGTAGCAGCTCTTGCACTCACTGTCAGAAATTCTAACCAAGAGCATTGAAATATCGACTTGCGAGCTTTGGGGGTGGTGCCTCTGGATTCTCATCATATGAGTGCCACACAGGTCAATGATCATTCCAAACGCTCCAATGTCTAATGACGGGTCTCACTACCCTCGTGATCCACCACCCAATAAACGCTGTCGCTCATCCTCACCTGGGCACAAATCTCGACACACTGAGATGCAAGGAGATCATGACTGGACAGTCGTATGGCAACCATTGAGTCTGCCCTCGAGCACATCGTGGCCAGGCTTCCCCCGCCGGTTCCAAATCCAACCCCTACCTCTGAACGGCGCGTGGTTGTTGAATCAGATGACACTGACATACTGTCCACAAGAGCCTCCCACTCATGACACAGACTATGAGCACTCTGATGATGATACTACGTACCACAGCTCTAGCGTCGTCCAGTCCCAGTGACGTTCGACCAGAAAATATCCTTCTCTGAAATCTTTGCGATGGCATGCAGGAACCTCAACGTGGAACATGCACCTACTGACATGATGTCCACATCCAAGTTTGATTCATTCAGTTCTTCAAAGACTGAGACATCTATCCCATTGTTCAAAGACTTTGCGTGAGCTCCAATGCACTTGGAGCATGCCAAATGACAACCACTGTCATGCCAAGCATATGCACTCGCTTAGCTACAGTTCATGGTGCAGATTAGAATGGTTTTGGCCATTTCTCCCATATGGACAAATAATTTGCTTCGCTTGTTCTGCCTGCTTCTCTTAGTCACAGTTCAGACCAAGAGCTGCCTAACAAACGATGCAGGGCATCTGATTGCTTCCTACCACAGGAGGTTGGTGGCACCTTAATTGGGGAGGACGGGCTCATGGTAATGGCAGGAGCGGAATAGATGGAATGGTTTTAAACACATCAAACATATGGAAACCATATGTTTGACTCCGTTATATTTATTCCAGCCATTACAATGAGTCCGTCCTCCTATAGCTCCTCCCACCAGCCTCCTCTGATTCCTACGCAGGACAAATGACAGCACTGCTTCAGCCGCTAGACTTAAGTCAGTATCGCTGCTGAATTTCTATCAGAAAGAGCTGCAGGAATGCCTCTCCGCAAACTATGATGATGAGACCATAAAATAACTGTCTATAGTTACAGACGTGCTCATCCAATGCCTTCAGGGCAATGCTCAGATGGTTGGGATGTAGAGCTGCTCATCCAATGGTTTCAGGGCAATACTCAGATGGTTGGGAAATCTTTGGCAACACTGTGTGTTGCACGGCACCACCTATGGTTAGTGCAGTCTAAGCTCCCTTACAAAGAGAAGGTTCCACTCCTAGGTGTACCCATATATCACCTGGCCAGTGTCTAAGGAAGGCAAGAGAAGCACAGATGGAGCTTCAGTGCCTCATTCCAAAGCCTAGAATGCATCAGCCAGCAAACCATTACTCCCATCCCAGGGCCCCAACTGGGGAGCCAAGAAACCAGGCTCAGACTCACACTGTACCTGCTCAGGAGTGGAGGAACAGAGACTCTCGGCCCTACCAGAGGTGGAGCGCAGCATCACCCAAGAGGCAGAGGTGCACCATATGCAGGCCGCGTCCCCTCTGCACCACATCACGCAGAGCCTCGGTCCTGATTGGACTGACTCGCTAGCACCACATCACGCAGAGCCTCGGTCCTGATTGGACTGACTCGCTAGCACAACACAGTTTCCTCGAGCACCACCTTTCCAGCTGGAAAAGGTCAACGGCCAACAAATGGGTGTTACGCACTCTAACACAAGGTTACGCACTACAATTATGTCAGCGACCCCCACGCTTCAGTGGTGTCTTGAAAGCAATGGCTTGCAACCCTGCTCAAAAGCAAACGTTCTGCTCAGAAGTCTCCTTGCTCCTGGAAAAGCATGCAATTGAAGAGATGGAACCAGTGCAACAAAACTGCGGGTTCAACTCAATCTATTTTCTGGTGCCGCAAAAGGGCGGAAGCCTCCGTCCGATCCTGGACCTAAGGTGCCTGAATCATCATCTGTCAGCATTTTGAAGGGAAGTGCTGAAAATCAAAACCATCCTTTAGTCAGTACAACCAGGAGATTGGTTCACCACAGTGGACCTGAAAGACGCATACTTCCATATCCCCATTCTGCCAGCACACAGAAAATACCTGAGATTTGCCATCGAAAAACATGTTTTTCAGTTTTGCGTTCGCTCACCCCTCACACTTTCATGAAGTGCATAAGCGCTAGCCCCCCTTTGCCAAGAGGGAGTAGAGGGGGCCTGAACTACTTAAACGATTGGCTAATATGTGCAGAGTCACAAAGCCAAGCTTTTGCAAATCACCTCTCCGAGTTGGGACTAACAATGAACTTGGAAAATAGTTCTCTGGTCCCCACTCATTGTGTGCACTTCCTGGGCTTGACACTGTTACATTGAAATCATGCGAGCAACACTCTTTCCAGAAAAAGTGGTATCTCTGACATTGTCTTTCAACATTCAAACTGAGAAAACCGGTGACAATGATAGAGAGTCAGAGGCTGCAGTCCAAGTTGTACCATTGGGCTTGCTCCACATGCGGCCAATACATTGCTTTTGTGTTTGCCAGAAGGGGCAATTTCAATGAGTTGCTGGAGAGCAATACAATGGTGGCGCCTAGCACTTCAAACTTCCAGTGGAGTTGGGGTGCTGCAATTTTAATGGCAGAAAAACCTTTTTTGCATGCGCTAAAGACGGCTTTATCGGTCCGCTAATACAGGACTAGTAAAGTTTTTTGAAATACATATTTAAAAATAATAATAATTGTAATTCAGATGGTGCTGCAGCACTCTCAGCACCCCTAGTTCCCACAGCTATGCCATGGACAACAGCTCACATCAACTTACTGGAGCTCAAGGCGGTTCACCTTGTACTCCGGCACTTCCTCCCAGTACTGAGAGGACAACATTTACATTTTAGTCATTTAGCAGACGCTCTTATCCAGAGCGACTTACAGTTAGTGAGTGCATACTGGCCCCCTGTGGGAAACGAACCCACAACCCTGGCGTTGCAAGCGCCATGCTCTACCAACTGAGCTACAGGGGACTACACATATGGACAGACAACACAACTGTGGTTGCACACATCAACCGCCAGGGCAGATTGAGGTCAATGGCACTGCACCAGGTAGCAAGGGAGCTACTGCTTTGGGCAAATCAACACCTTACATCCCTCAGAGCAATACACCTGACCATGCAGAATCGCCATCTTCCTGCCCAATTTCTGTCATTTGGATTTTCCTCTAGGAGCTTATGGCTGCAGGGAACTCCCCATTTACACTGAACAAAAAAATAAATGCAACGTGGAAAGTGTTGGTCCCATGTTTCATGAGCTGAAATAAAACAATCCCAGAAATGCACAAAAAACGTATTTGATTGGCTGGGTCTGGCTCCCCAGTGGGTGGGCCTGGCTGCCAAGTGGGTGGGCCTATGCCCACCCATGGCTGCACCCCTTCCCAGTCATGTGAAATCCATAGATTAGGGCCTAATGAATTTATTTCAATTGACTGATTTCCTTATATGAACTGTAACTCAGTAAAATCTTTTAAATTGTTGCATGTTGCCTTAATATTTTTGTTCATTATACATTGAAAGTGTATATGGCAGTCATGTTTATGGGCCATGACCAGATTGCGGGTGCAATTCATGAAAGGTGCCCGCAGGCTACGTCCCCCCGAGGCTCCTTCAGTACCCTCATGGGAGTTGGCTGTTGTAATACGATCACTTATGAGGCCACCATTTGAGCCCCTGTCTTCACTTGAGCTATGTGAGCTCTCAGTCAAGACTGCCTTTCTATTGGCTATTGTTTCAGCCAAGCATGTTGGAGAATTACATGCGCTTTCTACCCATCCTTCATGCCTCACTTTAGCAGAAGATGGATCTAAGGCAGTGCTTTGGTTAAATTCAGCATTCTCACCTACGGTCCTTTCATCATCACATGCTAACCAGCCCTTAATCATAGCAGCATTTCACCCGCATCCCCACTCCTCACAGGAGAGTTGTGAGTTGCATACACTTTGCCCGGTTAGGGCATTGAGTGCCTATCTTGCTGCAACAAGAACTGTTCGTCAAACAGAACAGCTTTTTGTGTGTTATGGGCAGAACACCAAAGGGTGCGCTGTCTCGAAGCAGAGACTGACATATTGAATTACCAATGCAGTGTCAAAATCACACCCTGCAGCAGGTAGGCATGGTAGGACACTCCACCATGGGTATGGCCACTTCATTGGCCCTGTTCAGAGGGGCCTCCCTGGACTGTTATATGGGCTGCTGCCCAGGCAACACCCATAACTTTCATGAGGTCCTACAGACTCAATGCTATGTCCACACCATCAGTGGGGTCTGTGGTTCTGGACACGGCACGCTCTCTCAGCCCAGATAAGTGAGCGTACCGTGAACCTTGTACATACTTACTTATCAACCATCAGTGAGATGGATGTCCTACACAGAGGCCTTCCACTATTGGTGCTGTTGCACTCAATTGAAGCCTCATATTGTAAGTTATAGCTTTCAGCTTGCTTGTGTATACGGTTGTATACCACAGTTGAAATTCTGTGTTACATTCTGTTGCATCCTGTTGGGTTATGAATTTAACATTGGTTCTCTGAGTAGAGTAACGGGTCGCCAAGCTTTCATGTCGTTCCTCCACTTCCGTAGGGTTCGAGTGAAGTAATAGACAGTATGTCACACCACACCGCATTTTATAGTGACAGGTCACATGGGTACAGTAAGGGCGTGGCGTGACTGTAAACATCTTTGATATTAAGCACAGTGGCGATTTTAGCATATAAATCTTGGTGGGGCAAACTCCCCAAAAATGTTTTAGATGCATGCCAGCAAAGCCACTACCCAACACAACACAACACTAAACAATACATTAATTGCATTATAACGGTGACAAACGGTGCCCACAAACTGTTAGGGCCTACAGAAATCTGTCCCAACAGCAGAGCTTTGTTTTCAGCAGCATGGAGTGAATCCTTACCACTGCTACACCTGGCTATCAGCGGAGCCTTGTCTGGCAGCGAAACAGTTCATTCAGCCTCATTTACTTCCTTTTGAAACAACATAGCTGATATAGGTGACTTGCTTAAACAAATGTGATTTCTACTGGCAATTGAGATGTACAAACTATGGCATAAGGGGACAATGAGTGGATAAGAGGCAATCCGTAATTTCAATTAAAACATTAATAAGCGAGCTAGGACGGACCTAGTCAATATAACTATTTGTTCAGCAGTTTTGAAATGTACAGTGACAGAATTCAGAACATGCCTTTCTGAAGGCACTGAATATAATTTTGGCAATTTATTTTCATTTACTTCCCTATTGGACCCACCGCTATGCCAGTTCTTTTGGACCCACCACTATGCCAGTTCTATTGGACCCACCGCTATGCCAGTTCTATTGGACCCACCGCTATGCCAGTTCTATTGGACCCACCGCTATGCCAGTTCTATTGGACCCACCGCTATGCCAGTTCTATTGGACCCACCGCTATGCCAGTTCTATTGGACCCACCGCTATGCCAGTTCTATTGGACCCACCGATAGGCAAGTTATATTGGACCCACCGCTATGCAAGTTCTATTGGACTCACCGCTATGCCAGTTCTATTGGACCCACCGCTATGCCAGTTCTATTGGACCCACCGCTATGCCAGTTCTATCGGACCCACCGCTATGCCAGTTCTATTGGACCCACCGCTATGCCAGTTCTATCGGACCCACCGCTATGCAAGTTCTATTGGACTCACCGCTATGCCAGTTCTATTGGACCCACCGCTATGCCAGTTCTATCGGACCCACCGCTATGCAAGTTCTATTGGACCCACCGCTATGCCAGTTCTATTGGACCCACCGCTATGCCAGTTCTATCGGACCCACCGCTATGCCAGTTCTATTGGTGTCATTCTGTTTTACTTTTGAGATGAAGCCTAATTATTTTTAGTTTTAGTTTGTGTCAAGAACTGCAACGCTGCTGGGCTTTTCACACCCGACAGTTTCCCATGTGTATCAAGAATGGTCCACCACCCAAAGGACATCCAGCCAACTTGACACAACTGTGGGGAGCATTGGAGTCAACATGGGCCAGCATCACTGTGGAATGCTTTCCACACCTTGTAAAGTCCATGCCCCGACGAATTGAGACTGTTCTGTATAATATTAACATAATCACGTTTATTTTTTTGAATGTATTATAAGATTTACCATATGATATGATAGTGTATGATGTGTTTAACTATTTCAAATAGCTGAGATGTGTTATTACAGCTTGTGACATATTTAGTGACAGGTATCTAGGCCACACACCTGGATCTGGCTTATGGCTGCTAAACAGTGCGCAAAGTTGTGCCAGTTGGACCGGTTTTCATGAAGCTTATCCATGTCACTAACAAGGGCTCATTGAGGAGTTGTGTCTAACAGTAACAGTGAGCCGCTATGTACTATGGGAGTCACTGAGCCCATGGGCCAAATGAATGATGCTCATTCTGGGCAGACCTGGGAGAGGCCCAGCCAGGCCTGTGTGTGAGGGGTTGCAGCCAGCGAGCAGTGGGCCTGACTGCCAATGTATGAATGAATAGACCTTTTTGTTTTCCCCTGTCCCTCTGCAGCCCCCAACAACCTGGTCCGCCTGCACACAGTATGCGAAGCCACAGAGGTGCACTTAGGGAGGCTGGACAGAGAATTACTAGAAAAGGCTGGAGCGACATTAGTGTACCTTGTTATATCCAGATGATCTGAAAGACATTCTATCCAATGAAAGCTTCCCTGGGTTGGGGTTATCTATATCATTCTAGTCTCTGTGCCTGGTGGTCAGTAGTCGGAACTCTTTTACATCTAACAAGGACCTGATGAGCTGTAAACTCTTTACAATCCTTCCCATTGCATTCAGAGTAATAGACAGCTGTACAGGGGAGTCCAGAGTAGTGCAGCTATTGGGGCAGGGCAGCTCACTGTAGCATGGCTTCTTTCAGGTATTTCACATAAGCTTATAGAGGGATCATATGGCATTGATCACGTGTCACTCACTACTTGCGTTCTCCCACCACCTTCTAATTTATGCATAAGGCCCTTTCCAAAGGAACAATGAATTGTTGTTCTCTAGTTTCTCTTATCAAAACTAAACAAAGACAGACATATTGTTCTTCTTGGAATTTAAACATATGGGAAGGTATACTTGTCTTGGGAATGACTTAATGCAGTCCTTATCAAGCTGTAACACTACATGTTACAGCACAGTTATGTGTTTCCCAGCTGACTCAAATATTGTGTGTTCAGTTGCAAACCCCTAAGGCAGTATTTATTTCTCTTGTACTAATAGCTCAATTATAAATGTGCAGATGTGTTATCATGCGGTCTCTCTGTGGTTTCAGGATTTTCAGAGGGTCACTAACGTGGGGTACCAGGCTTACCATGTGAGCAGGTCCAAGCGAAGCCAGTGGTGGGCACCAGAGAAGGCTTCAGAGGCTGCACTGTCTGGCTCACAGGTAAGCAAAGAAAACCCTCTCTCTCCAATACTACACTACATAGTTTCATATAAGCCTCGTTGGATAATGGATGTATTGTAAATATTGACTATGTCACTGTGTACAAAGGGTTTGTCAGGTGCTGGAAAGAAAACCGTCGGCTTTGCCCTGGAGGAGTACTTGGTTTTCCCTGCTACTCCTTGGACGGGGATAACATCCGACAGAAACTGAACAGTAACCTGGGCTTCACCTCTGTGGACAGGGAGGAGAGCATCAGGCGCATCGCTGAGGTGGCCAAGCTGTTTGCAGATGCAGGATTGGTCTGCATCACCAGCTTAATTTCCCCATTCACTAAGGTGAGTGAGTGACACAGTTAAACAGACACTGTTCAATTCGCAATTGAGATACTCAATTGGAAACTTATCAAAGGGCCATCTCTAAATCATCCATTGTGATAGATCTGAGCTCTGGCTTGTATAGCTGCTATACTGTGTGTCTGCATTCACTTCTGTTGGTATATGGTCTTGAAAACCAGTTTTTGTTATGGAAGCAAAATTAAGATACCAAACATGTTGATTTTTGCTACCCAGTCTCTTCCTCCGAAAGGACCGAAATGAAGCCAGGAAGATCCATGAGCGCTCTGGGCTGTCGTTCTTCGAGGTGTTCATTGACGCTCCTCTGGAGGTGTTTGAGAGCAGGGATGTTAAAGGCATCTAAAAGAAGGCCTGTGCTGGTGAGATTAAAGGTACTGATCAGACTGACTCTGCCCTCTAGTGTTCCAGTACTCTTTTACGTTACATTACAGACCAAGATTTTAACAGCATAGATCATATGGCTTCAAAGTCTACTACTTTACATGCTATTAAACAAGCAAAGAGAGTGGGTCATAGAATGTACAGCTACAGCACTAAAGTAGTGTCAATTACTGACAAGGTCCTGAACAGGTATCCTAACCCTCTCCCCTCAGGCTTTAAGGGCATCGATTCACCCTTTGAGAAGCCTGAGTCACCTGAGCTTATGCTGAAGACCGGAGAGATCTCTGCGAATGAGTGCATCCAGCAGTTGGTCGAGCTGCTGAAGGAACAGGTGAGTCTATCTATGGCTCCTGAGACCTTGTTGGGCCTCGTCTGTCTGTGGTGTAGCTAAATCAGTATTTTCAAATTACTGGTACTGCCCTATCTCTACCATGAGGAAAATGTCGTAGTCATTGGACAATATTATCCAAATTAGTATTTTCAGGCTCCTTTGAACAGTGTGAACTTGTTAATGTACTAACACATTGATCCCTTTGTTTTGTATTGTGCCCACTAGTGTGACAGAGGAAGTGAATGAGCTCTTTGTGCCAGAGAACAAGCTTGACTTGGCACTGAGCGACGCCAAGACACTGCCCACCATCAGCATCACCAAGGTAACAAATCCTTCTTGTATGCGAGTTTTTGGGTTTGATATGTACAATCTTGAGTAGACTTAACTGCTGGCACTTTGAGGCAAGTAACACTGAAACACGCATGAGAGCATCAGCTGTTCCGGACGACTGTGTGATCACGCTCTCCATAGCCGATGTGATTAAGACCTTTAAACAGGTCAACATTCACAAGGCCGCAGGGCCAGACGGATTACGAGGACGTGTACTCTGAGAATGCGCTGACCAACTGGCAAGTGTCTTCACTGACATTTTCAACCTCTCCCTGTCTGAGTCTGTAATACCAACATGTTTCAAGCAGACCACCATAGTCCCTGTGCCCAAGAACACTAAGATAACCTGCCTAAATGACTACCGACCCGTAGCACTCACGTCTGTAGCCATGAAGTACTTTGAAAGGCTGGTCATGGCTCACATCAACACCATTATCCCAGAAACCCTAGACCCACTCCAATTTGCATACCGTTCCAACAGATCCACAGATGATGCAATCTCTATTGCACTCCACACTGCCCTTTCCCACCTGGACAAGAGGAACACCTATGTGAGAATGCTATTCATTGACTACAGCTCAGCGTTCAACACCATAGTGCCCTCAAAGCTCATCACTAAGCTAAGGACCCTGGGACTAAACACCTCCCTCTGCAACTGGATCCTGGACTTCCTGACAGGCCACCCCCAGGTGGTAGGGGTAGGTAACAACACATCTGCCACGCTGATCCTCAACACGGGGGCCCCTCAGGGGTGCGTGCTCAGTCCCCTCCTGTACTCCCTGTTCACCCATAACTGCATGGCCAGGCACGACTCCAACACCATCATTAAGTTTGCTGACGACACAACAGTGTCAGATGAACCGATGTGGATGTGGTGGAGGAGTCAGGCGCAGGACACAGAGGCTTCGTCCAACAGACTTTACTAGTCAAAAGTGCAAAAATACAATACACGGCCTCGAAACAAACAGAGGCGAGTGAATGCGTAAACCATGCGTAAACACTAAACAAACAAACAGAGCGACAACACGCAACTCCGAAATACGGGCAGACAACAACACACAATCTAACCTATACAAAACAGGGAACTTATAGGACACGTAATCAGAACACAAACAGACACAGGTGTACAAGACAGACCAAAGCAATCACACCACAAAACATTCAACGGTGGCAGCTAGTACTCCGGGGACGGCGAACGCCGAAGCCTGCCCGAACCAGGAGGAGGAGCAGTCTCGGCCGAAACCGTGACAAACAGTGGTAGGCCTGATCACTGATAACGATGAGACAGCCTATAGGGAGGAGGTCAGAGACCTGGCTGTGTGGTGCCAGGATAAAAACCTCTCCCTCAACGTGATCAAGACAAAGGAGATGATTGTGGACTACAGGAAAAAAAAGAGGATTGAGCACGCCCCCATTCTCATCGAAGGGGCTATAGTGGAACAGGTTGAGAGCTCCTTGGTGTCCACATCATCAACAAACTATCATGGTCCAAACACACCAAGACAGTCGTGAAGAGGGCACAACAAAGCCTATTCCCCCTCAGGAGACTGAAAAGATTTGGCATGGGTCCTCAGATCCTCAAAATGTTCTACAGCTGCACCATCGAGAGCATCCTGACTGGTTGCATGACCGCCTGATATGGCAACTGCTCGGCCTCCGACCGCATGGCATTACAGAGGGTAGTGCGTACGGCCCAGTACATCACTGGGGCCAAGCTTCCTGCCATCCAGGACCTCTATACCAGGTGGTGTCAGAGGAAGGTCCTAAAAATTATCAAAGACTCCAGCCACCCTAGTCATCGACTGTTCTCTCTGCTACCACATGGCAAGCGGTACCAGAGCGCCAAGTCTAGGTCCAAAAGGCTTCTTAACAGCTTTTACCCCCAAGCCATAAGACTCCTGAACAGCTAATCATGGCTACCCGGACTATTTGCATTGCCCCCCCCCCCACCCTCCTCTTTTACGCTGCTGCTACTGTTTATTATTTATGCATAGTCACTTTAACTCTACCCACATGTACATATTACCTCAATTACCTCGACCCACCGGTGCCCCCACACATTGACTCTGTACCGGTACCCCCTGTATATAGCCTCCCTACTGTTATTTAATTTTACTGCTGCTCTTTAATTATTTGCAATTTTTTACTTATCCATTTTTTTTTCTTAACTGAATTGTTGGTTAAGGGCTTGTAAGTAAGCATTTCACTGTAATGTCTACACCGGTTGTATTCGGCGCATGTGGCAAATACAATTTGATTTGAAGTACTGTAGAAATCTAGGCTTTTTTTTTTTTTTTTTACTCCTTTTTAACTGTTTATTATTTCAACTAGAAATCGTTTAGTTTGATGAGTGGGTCAAAAGGAATCTGTAAGCAAGTAAAGTACTTTTTAATTGGAAGTCATTGAGAGAAATCAATATGAATGATTTATTAACAGATCACTTATGTTACCTATCTATGCATCTTAACTTCCAAGGTAGTAACTTAAAAAATGCATGATAGATGTTTTTTAAGCTGTGAGAAGACAAATGATGTAATTCCATAGATGAGTGACCAAGAAGTTTGTGGTATGTGAATGGAAGGGGTTTTAACTACTCTTGTGTAATGGAATGAAACTTTATTTATCAAGTGATGCCATGTTAACTCATGTTCTTATACTGTATTTACCTTTTTATATTTCAGAATACTTTTCAGAGTATAGGAAATGTCAAGCAAATAAATTATTACATAACATTAAAAGATGTATTTGTGTCATTTATTTTAGCTGACACCAGAATTCAGGGTACTACAAAGGCAGCGCATCAGCCGATTGTTAATGGCAAAGAAGACAATATTCAATTAAAATATTAGTCACAATCAGGAACTTATCAACAATAACATTATTTAATATAAAATAAAGTAAAGCAAGCATATTTGATCTAAACAAGAGTTTAATAATAAACAAAACAATTTCCACTAATCCTCAAAACTATATGTCCACAGAAAACTTGTCATTCAAGTAAACTATGAATTGGCAATCACACACATTCAATAGATTTACAAGTTCCAATGGCTGTTGCTTGTGGGAGATACTAGAAGTTTGTCATGAATAAATAATCAATCACCCAACAATTAAGCATCCTGGTCATCATAAGGGATCAACAGAAACTATAATGCTGCGTTCACGGGCTAGTCAGAACTCTGAAATTTCCGACTTGCTAACTGGTTGAACGCGGCACATGTATAATACAACAAGTTAGCAAGTCTGACATTTACGAGTTTCCTAGTTCCGACTAGCACATGAATGCGGCATAAGCACATGAATGCGGCATAAGCGACATGACAATCAGCGCAGGAAGTATTCACAAGCAGTTTCTATATTCTACTGTAAATGAAACCTGGACTAACAAGAGGTCATAAAAAGGACCTGAAAGCACAACACAGACACACAACCTGTCACACAGGTTTCCTGATCTATTGAAGTTTTAAAAACAAAAGTAAACTTGAATAATAAATACCTTAACATTAGTAGCTCATGATATTACAGCTCTAGCCTGCTCTATGTATTTACTATAAATAAATGGAAGGCCATGACACTGTAAACTTACCCAAACATCTTTGCATCGTGTTCTCTTCACAACATCCACAGCGATAATTCACTTTCAATGAAAAGTTGAATTGCTCTTTTTGATATAGAAACATTTATCATGCATGATAAAAAGTATGATCTAATTCATATAATTCAGACATCCGAAAACCACTCATTGTATAACACTTAGCTAATAGTCAAAGGATGACAGTGCCAACTAAAAGTAGCACATTCTATTACAGATGTTACACTAGCTAGTTTGATTAACAGCTTTCCTGAAAACATTTTTCTGAATAGCCCTAAATATACAGTACCAAAATAAACATTTGATGTTCAGATAAAATGGAAGGTGAAAGCCAAAGGCTAAATCAATATTGCTGTGTGTGTGTAATAAGGACGAGCATGTGTACTGTCAAACCTGAAAGGATCCAAAGCTGTGCTCATATTTTGCAGTCTGAGAGCATGCTTCGGTGAGATGTTGGTTGAGCAGATATGCATAAGAAACTAATGCCAACATAAGTATCATGTAACACCTAACTTCAAGATAATAAATTGCATTTTGACCGAAACATTTAATGTGAATACATTGAACCAAATGTTCTTAAATAATAAATGAAGTAAAATGTTGAAGTGATATTATGTTAGGCATTACATTATTATGTGTACCGCTTCATGGTTTCTATCAGTACTCTTCATACATAAGGAAAACATATCCAGAGGCTTAATAGTTCTCTTTTGCACGTCAACACTCAATCCATAGCAGCATGCATCAGTACACTCTGTCCCCCTGCAGACTTGGACTTCCTCATCTTCTGGATGGCCCTCTGCATGTCCTGCTGCTGGATGGACCGGATGTAATCCTCTTCTAGACTGGAAGGGTGGTGGGAGGGAGACAGAAGACAAAGAAAAGGTCAGTATCTTGCTGGTAACTGCAGAAGGCACTCTAATTGTGTGAAATCTCTAATCACTACAAATGCTCATATGTAAAGCCAATGTAAGACAGTGGTAATGGTCATCACGTTAGGGCTCGAGAAGGGGTGTGGTACCTGTCATTGGCATGGGTGTTATGGACAAAGTCCCGCACACAGAGCAGAGCAGCGTCCCGACACAACTCTCTGAGGTCACTCCCTGAGAATCCATCAGTCTCCTTCGCTATCTCAACAAAGTCAACAGTGGGCTCAACCTGGGATATGCATGGGGAGGTTTAGTGAAAACACACACTGACAAAAAGCATAACTTAATTACCATGACTTACATGTAGAACTTACATTTTCATTTTCCAATATGAGTTTCAAGATTTCTTCCCTCTGCCTGACATTCTGCAAGAAGATATTTTTAGCAGGAATTAAATACATTTCAGGTAATCTCATATAGTACTGCATAATCATAATATAATATGCCATTTAGCAGACACTTTTATCCAAAGCGACTTACAGTCACGTGTGCATACATTTTTACATATGGGTGGTCCCGGGGATCGAACCCACTACCCTGGCGTTACAAGCGCCATGCTCTACCAATTGAGCTACAGAGGACCACATATCATAGTACATATTCATAGTACTGTGTATATACACTGATAAACGTGTACAGTTTGTGAATATACTCACAGGCTGATTTATGTGAAATCTTGTGGGCATTCTCCTCAGAATGGCAGAGTCTAGATCCTGTGGACGGTTAGTGGCCCCCATAATGATGACCTACATGTGGAAAAGGTGAGAGGCAAGTGAGAAACAGACTCAACCAGACAGGTGTCACATGATCCTTGTATTTTATTCATGATGGACCTACAGTGAGGGAAAAGTATTTGATCCCCTGCTGATTTTGTACGTTTGCCCACTGACAAAGAAATGATCAGTCTATAATTTTAATGGTAGGTTTATTTGAACAGTGAGAGACAGAATAACAACAACAAAAATCCAGAAAAATGCATGTCAAAAATGTTATAAATTGATTTGCATTTTAATGAGGGAAATAAGTATTTGTCCCCCTCTCAATCAGAAAGATTTCTGGCTCCCAGGTGTCTTTTATACAGGTAACGAGCTGAGATTAGGAGTGCTCCTAATCTCAGCTTGTTACCTGTATAAAAGACACCTGTCCACAGAAGCAATCAATCAGATTCTAAACTCTCCACCATGGCCAAGACCAAAGAGCTCTCCAAGGATGTCAGGGACAAGATTGTAGACCTACACAAAGCTGGAATGGACTACAAGACCATCGCCAAGCAGGTTGGTGAGAAGGTGATAAACAGTTGGTGCGATTATTCGCAAATGGAAGAAACACAAAATAACTGTCAATCTCCCTCGGCCTGGGGCTCCATGCAAGATCTCACCTCGTGGAGTTGCAATGATCATGAGAACGGTGAGGAATCAGCCCAGAACTACACGGGAGGATCTTGTCAATGATCTCAAGGCAGCTGGGACCATAGTCACCAAGAAAACAATTGGCAACACACTACGCTGTAAAGGACTGATATCCTGCAGCGCCCGCAAGGTCCCCCTGCTCAAGAAAGCACATATACAGGCCCGTCTGAAGTTTGCCAATGAACATCTGAATGATTCAGAGGAGAACTGGGTGAAAGTGTTGTGGTCAGATGAGACCAAAATCGAGCTCTTTGGCATCAACTCAACTCGCCGTGTTTGGAGGAGGAATGCTGCCTATGACCCCAAGAACACCATCCCCACCGTCAAACATGGAGGTGGAAACATTATGCTTTGGGGGTGATTTTCTGCTAAGGGGACAGGACAACTTCACCGCATCAAAGGGACAATGGACGGGGCCATGTACCATCAAATCCTTCCCTCAGCCAGGGCATTGACAATGGGTCGTGGATGGGTATTCCAGCATGACAATGACCCAAAACACACGGCCAAGGCAACAAAGGAGTGGCTCAAGAAGAAGCACATTAAGGTCCTGGAGTGGCCTAGCCAGTCTCCAGACCTCAATCCCATAGAAAATCTGTGGAGGGAGCTGAAGGTTCGAGTTGCCAAACGTCAGGCTCGAAACCTTAATGACTTGGAGAAGATCTGCAAAGAGGTGTGGGACAAAATCCCTCCTGAGATGTGTGCAAACCTGGTGGCCAACTACAAGAAACGTCTGACCTCTGTGATTGCCAACAAGGGTTTTGCCACCAAGTACTAAGTTATGTTTTGCAGAGGTCAAATACTTATTTCCCTCATTAAAATGCAAATCAATTTATAACATTTGACATGCGTTTTTCTGGATTTTTTTGTTGTTATTCTGTCTCTCACTGTTCAAATAAACCTACCATTAAAATTATAGACTGATCATGTCTTTGTCAGTGGGCAAACGTACAAAATCAGCAGGGGATCAAATACTTTTTTCCCCTCACTGTACCTGGCAGTTGTAGTCAGTTTCCAGCCCATCCCACAAGCTCATGAACTGAGCCTTCATCATGGCTGTGGCCTCGTGGTCAGAGCTGGAACGGCTTCTTAGGAAAGAGTCTGGAACAGAAAATGACAGGATCAACAGGAGATGGTGATGATCACTACATAACAGGCTTAGCTGAAGAACCCAAACAAGATTTCAAAGTACTGTATACCAAAGGAAGGGCAATGGTAAAATAAGCATTTACCAATCTCATCTATGAAGATGATTGAGGGCTGGAGCTTAATGGCTAGAGAGAAGACGGCAGCAGCCAGTTTCTGGGACTCTCCATACCACTTGTCTGTGAGGGTGGAAGGCTGCAGGTTGATGAAGCGGAAGCCAGCTTCTTTGGCAGTTGCTTTGGCAATCAGCGTCTTTCCACAGCCAGGTGGTCCATACAGCAGCACACCTGTTATCATAATGAAGAGGTACGAGGAGTACTAAAGACTGAAGGTGGTCTGTTGAACCTTAATATGCATTGTGTCTCTATCATTACCTGTATCAATAAACTAATATTTTATGAAAGAAGAGACTCACCTTTTGGTGGCTGAAGCAGTCTGGATCCCTCAAACAAGTGTCTCTTCTGGATGGGAAGTATGACAGTGTCTTTCAGCTCAGTGATGACCTCATCTAGGCCAGCAATATCACTCCATGTGATCTGTAGAGAGAGCATCACATCAGTTAGTTATGAGGCATAGACGGCATACACCGAGTATACAAAACCTTAAGAACATCTGCTCTTTCCATGACATAGACTGACCAGGTGAATCCAGGTGAAAGCTATGATCCCTTATTGATGTCACCTGATAAATCCACTTCAAATCAGTGTAGTTGAAGGAGAGGAGATGTTCCTAATGTTTCGTATACTCTGTAGAATGTTGTAATGAAGTTTGGGGTTCAAAAAATTGTGTATTGATGCAGCTCTCTTACCTGCATGGTCAATGGGTCCACCAGATGTGCTGCAATGCTCATCTCATACTCTGAGAGCTTGACATTCTGCACACCAATCTGCTTCATGAGTTTCTCTGCCTAAAACCCCCAACTGTAAATAGTCATCTACCTTTGCACATTACAATACAGTCCCAACAAACATGATACATATCCACAGAAGATGCTCAGAATCAAACAGGTCAAACTTCTCATTTTTTTAAAACTTCACCTGTTTCTGCGCTTCCATTTTCTGTTTCCTTGTGGGATCAAGGGCATCAACCATCCACTTTATGGTGAAGTAGGTGACTGCACCAAATATAGTCAGTCGGAAGAGTAAACCAATAACTTCATTCCGGCCCAAGGGCCGGCCAACACTTTCAGTTGGAATCTCCTTCAACACCATCTTCTTAGATGTCTGCGGGATTGGAGAAAAAAATAAATTCTCCCAACTTGATCACAGTTGACATTGAACAATAAAGCTTGGCTAGTAGCTACTATGGCCAAAACTCCATCCCACCAAAACACATAATTTTCACACAGTATTATTCCATCCTCATAGTGTGGAAATACACTTGGTGTACAAAATATTGAGAACACGTGCTCTTTCCATGACATAGACTGACCAGGTGAAAGCTATGATCCCTTATTGATGTCACTTGTAACATCCACTTATGGTAGAGAAATGAACATTCAATTCTCTCAAAACAGCTTTGGTGGACATTCCTGCAGTCAGCATGCCAATTGCATGCGCCCTCAAAACTTGAGACATCTGTGGCATTGTGTAGTGCAGGGTTCTTCAATTCTGGTCCTGGAGGGCCGAAACACTTCTGTTTTTTATTTCTACCTGGTAGTTAATTGCACTCACCTGGTGTCCCAGGTCTGAATTAGCCCCTGATTAGAAGGAGAGGATGAAAAGCAGAGGTGTTTCGGCCCTCCAGGACCAGAATTGAAGAACCCTGGTGTAGTGTGACAAAACTGCACATCTTAGAGTGGCCTTTTATTGTCCCCAGCACAAGGTGCACCTGTGTAATGATCATGCTGTTTAATCAGCTTCTAGATATGCCACACCTGTCAGGTGGATGAATTATCTTGGCAATGGAGAAATGCTCACTAACAAGGGTGTAAACAAATTTGTAGACAACACTTGAGATAAATAAGCTTTCTGTGCTTATGGAACATTTCTGGGATCTTTTATTTCAGCTCATGAAACCAACACTTTACATGTCGCGGTTATACTTTTGTTCAGTGTATAAACAGAGGAAAATCAAGTTTGACTGCTCTGGGTCTTTAACAGTCTATTTCTAAAAATTATTTTACAATACAGACAATCTAAACTGTGAAAAGACTACTAGCTAGCTAGCAGTTTCCCTTTGCGTGTTACAAAACTGAAAGTTTGGCTTGACCTAACCCATTCATAGACGCCAACTACCTTTAGCACCTATTGACGATAGTATATTCTGGCCGCTGGAATTTTGTTAAGATCTCGACGCTTGCGGTACGGTTTTGGAAACACAAGGTACTTTTTTCTAATGTAACCTAGGTCTCTTTTTAAAATGCGCCCTGTATAGTACAACATTAATATACACACATACGTTAAAATACAAAAACACAGTCATGGCACAAATAGAACATCACAAATCACCCAGAAAAGGTTACATTCCCCCACAAACAAGGGCCCTATCAATACTTAAAAAATTGCCCGAACAACACCAGAATATCAAGATGACGCTTACTTTCATATCAGCGAGAAATAATTTTCTAAAAACTAAAAGTTCAATTACTACACACCTTGATAGGGTTAGTGTTCCCACAAGGCCATAATGTTACAGCGCTTGTTTACGAAAAGACAAGAGGCGACCACCTGTGCTAATTATCAATCTCCGAACACCTGTGTATAAACGGAAGTGTAGTTTCGTCCGATGGATCTATGCAAAACTGCTACAGTAAGTTTATTTTATTAGAAGGATTCGTTCTCGCTGATGGAAGATAAGGGCCATATGTTTTGAAAGCATTGATTGACGTTTCTAAACGTTAAAAAACAGTATCAAGATTGTAGTTCACAAGAGGTAGTCGTGGGCGAAGCTAACGGCATTAATGGCTGAAAACTGTAAGAAGGCAGAATGCCTCAGTTTGAAAGCTAGGTTAGTGTTATGATGCGTTTAGAGGAGGGACGCAAAAAAACGTAATATCTGTTGGCATAGCGGATCAACAAAGCAAGAAAGAGGGTGACAGCAAAACCAAGCCAGCACAAGGTATGTGTTGCTATAGTGATTTCAGTAAACAATCAGTGCAAATCAACATCGGTAGAAAACAATGCTACCACAGACGGCAAAAGTTGAAATAGTTTAACTTTGTCCAGTCTACTGTGGCGGCTGACGGCATTCACCGTCGGCATTTACAGTCGTGCTTGAAAACAATGACATCCGGTTTGCCGTCTACCATGTAAACACTGCATTAGTATTCCCACATGGCCATATCGCCACGTTACATCGCTTGTTCACGGAAAACATAGGCGGCCACCTGTGCTAATTAACTATCTAGCGTGATCCGAACACCTGTGTGTATGCGTAACTGGGGAGGATGTGTAGTTCAACTGGAGACACACAGCTTGTGGATCTGTGCAAAACTGCTACAGTAAATGTATCTTTATTTGAATGATTATTTCTCGCTGATATGAAAGATAAGGGGCATATCAGCATATGTTTGGAAACCCGGTTTAAAAGCGATGATTGACTTTTCTAAACGTTAAAAACACAGCGTCGGAATTGTAGTTCACATGTATGCGAATGTAACCGCTGAAAACCCTATATGGAGAAGGGTTTTCGAGAGCTAGCTTTGACCTTCCAGTTAGCATGCAGCCTCATGCCAAAATTAGTCGTTACTTTGTAGGGGAACAAATCCCGCTAGCCCGGCCACCTTGTGAAATGTGTTGGATGAATCCATCTATTTCTAATAACATTAAACATATTTAGAAAAACAAATAAACCATCATCACAGTTTGCTCATGTGAACTGGCATGACACTCACCTCGCGCTTCCGACTCTTTACTCTTGTCCGGGGGTTGTCAGCGTGAGGCTCCGCGCAATTTGCATGATCGGTGCCCCCTACTGTTTTGGAATAGACACTGTAAAATAATTTCCTCAATATTTCTGTGACATGAGACAGATGTTGAACGAACATTTTTCTAGGTAAATAGCAACAAGTAAAACTATAGATTTAATGAGGTGGCTACAACCCATATTGTGCAAATTAAGGTACTCCCCTCTCATAAAACGTTTATTTTTTTGTTACTTACTGTGTAGGTCAGGATACTGTACTTCATGTTCCATGCAAATCTGACAGATGGCGCCCTAACACAACTATTCGCGAAAGTCCAGTGACCACAACTAGTACTTGTCATCTACACTGGTTTACAAACTCCTGTCCGGGTAGAGAACTAGGAAAAGTCAAGGTACTCAGACACTGCAGAATGTGCAACAACTGTGTTTATTTTTGTTTCCTAGTCTGTAATGCACAGTGTAAAAGATGCACAATGTGCAACAACTTTGAAGTTGTCAAGTATCAAAACATTGAAATGGTGAGACACGTACTCTTTATTTTTGTTTCCTAGTCTATTTGCATAGTGAAAAGGCAACAGCCAATGTATTTATTCCTCATCTAATACACCTGCAATTTGCTCCACATGTAGTTTATACAATGCCATGATACAATGGAATGTATTTGTTTAAAAGGCTAAAACAAATGCATCCAGCACATCGAGTATAGAGTTACACAACGCAAAGTCTCTGATTTGATTATATACATATCAATGTCATGATTCCTAAATTAAATATAGGAAACTTCCACAATTACAGAAACACGTGATAAGAGAAGATAGGTCGCTGTTCAGTGCCCATGTCCTTCCAACGCAGATTAAAACAATTTATTATAAATTAAATTACATTTTTTATTTTTTTATTCAATGAAAGAGACATTTAATGATAGCTTTGTCAATTTATTCTGCACTATTTTACGTGTTGTCCTAGCGGCGTTTCGCCGGATAGACGTCTTTGAATAACTATTTTACACTGCGGCATAACGTTCTGTCCAATCATAGCCTTCTCAATTGGAACGGAATTTACGGAAGCCATGATGGAAGTTCGCGAGTGCAGCCTGGGGCTGGGAGAAACGAGTCAGTACAGTAGGGAAAGGGACGTTTCAGGGAAGAACGGCAGGCGTGTTATAAAATAAATAAAAATCGAACAGATTTGTAGTCTTTAAGGTGGAGGCTGTCAATTTTCCCTCCATTTTTTTTGTCGGGTGACTGCTTTTTTTTTGTTTGAGAATTGACATGCTATGCGCTAGCCATATCTACCTACGTGTGTGCTGAGATCGAGTGTGTCAGTCACTTTTCTGGGAAAGGAACGGCGGGGAGATTTCTCTCCGCTTGTCTGGCATAATCACGGCGCCTTTGGCGAAATCAGATACTTGGTACTCTCTTGAAATACAACGCTCCGAGGGCTGGATAATTAATCACCTATTCATCTGGGGGATTTTGTGTAAAATTGCGGGACCTGGGAAGCCGGGCCTGTGGTGGAACGGAGTGAGGCCCTCCTTTATGACCTATCGGCAGCAGAAACTATTCTAGCTAGCTAGCACGGCTAGCTTAGCTAGCTAGCTGTCAACGTTTGACACCAACGGGATTGCGAGGGAGAAAAATATTGGCAACATTTCATACAAAGGCAACGATACTTTCTCTTAATTTAAAAACGGTATAGACTCCTGCCACAGATATGGCTGCAATCATAAAGGAAATTGTCAGCCGAAACAAAAGGAGATACCAGGAAGATGGGTTTGACTTGGACTTGACTTGTATCCTTTTTGTTCAATGTCTGTAACGTTAATATTAGCTAACTACAGTAACTTTTATGTATGTTAATCTTTCTCTGTATTACATTGCTAGTTAGCTAGCTACTGTAGCTAACACATGAATACCTAGATTGCTAACTTAACCTTTCTCCAAAAGATGATTAGCTAGCTAGCTAACGTTAGCTAATATTAGCTAGTAAGTCTGTACTAGTAGTCGGTGAACATTACTTCTAAAAAAATGTGTATGTATGTATATGTGTGTGTATATGTGTATATATATATCTCTTTAGTTAGGCTAGTTAACTATATGTGAAAGAATAACTAACCTGCTAGCTAGGCAGCTAATGACACTAACCTACTCATTGCTATTTGATAAAGGTGTCTGTCCTGTTAAATTAAATGCGGTCTTGATAGCTAGCTAGCTAAATATATCCCAAAACTTGCATAACGTTAGCTAGCTAGTAGTTTGCACATCATCATGATTGAATGAGAGATTCAGCATCATAACATAAGGATAACGTAGCTAGGCTAGCTAATGCCGTGGTAGCTAACGTTGTCTAGTTAATTGATGTTGATAATGTTTAGTCTTTAATTATTTGGTTGTCAACTGTACATTTTAACTGGTTAGTTGGCTAATATAGCTAGCTAAATCTTGGATGGGGAACAAAGAGATCAACCTTTTGCGACGCATTCTTGAGGTTCTCTGGCCTACAAAATGATCTAGCAAACTATAGCTAATGGATTAACGTTATATTCACAATCAGTGCTGCTGCTAGCCACACAAAGACCAAAAGCATGGAATCATTATCAGAGTGATGCGAAATGGTAATAGTACTTGCTCATTAGTGGGATGTACCAATTTCATGGTGCTAGAATGTACGTAATCAGTAGACAGTTGGTTTGCTTGTCTTGATGTCTTAATGAGGTCAGCTTGTTTGTATTGATTTGAGCAATCTTAGGGATAAAGTGTTTAGTTACAAATGACCAGAGAAGAACATTCTCTAAAAGACAAATGTTCAGAAGTTAGATTTGTCTGAAATGGGTCACCTAACCTTGCAAGGTATGCAATCAAATGGTGAAAGTGTAGGTGCATGTAGAATGCACAAATAAAAGCTAGGTAAAGGTTATGAGCGTGATTGGAGGGAGGAAGTGCAGCGTACTACTGTAGTACAATATTGGTATGTTAAGTTGTCATGTCTTGTCTTGCACTTGAAATGGTCAAAGCCTATTTGTTGTGTGTGTGGCCCCTTGGTTCAGTGATCTCAGAAAGCTCTGTGCAAAAAGCAGAACTGGAATATGGTTAGGGCAGGGGTTCCCAAACCTTTTCTGCACTTGACTGCAAATTGACACAAGAAAATACAGGGGAAACATTATATTCCCTAGTAAACACCCTGTGTTCATATTCACAAAATCTTTGTTGCTGTAGGCTGGCCCAACATATTGTAAAACGCCATTAGTTGACACTAAAAGGTTGTATTCTATACCTATTTGAAGAGGGAAAATGTTATTAATTTGTTTGATAAGAGTACAGATTTTCTAAGGGGACCTCATTTACATTTTCCCAACCCCAAATTTGGGAACCACTGGGTTAGGGTTTGCCTAACTAAGTAATTTTGAAATGATATTGTATGAGTGAAACATGGGATTATAGCTAAATCACCTTGTTTTATCAAACATATTTTGATGTGAGATAGCTATTGTTCCAGGCATTGTAGCTATGGTTGTTATGTAATGATTCCAGTTCTAGGAATTGGCCTTAAAATTGTGATGAGATTTCACATCAACAGCAATGCCTTTCCACCACACTAGTAGCAGAGGTTTAAAGATTAGCCTTTAGGCCTTAACTGCCATTTGAGACTCCTCGTCTTCATGGGACTAGAGGAGGTTTTTGTAATGATATGTTAGGTTTTCAAATCTTTTTTATAGGCCTATGTCTGTGCTATTTAAGAATACGAAAATGCTAAGTTAATTTCCTAAATGGTGTCGCTGGAAAATGGCAGTAGGCCTATAGAGACTACCTATGTTCTGGAACAATTGAATTGATCCCATTCAGTCCATTGACTATGTATTTGATAGGAACAGTTACATGTGAGGCTCTGCTCATGCTGACATTGCATTTGTCATTGCAGTAGTGTCGGGTACTTTTTGAGCATGACGTCATTGTGATTTTATGCCAGTTCAAATGTAAAGTACGCTATCGGAGGAGATGAGTGTGTGACGAGACGGACCGCGTCTCAGTAAATGAACAGTAACAGAATAATAATTTAGAGAATGTTTTATATTTATTTCATATAGTAGTAGCCTATTTCTGATTTAATTGTTTGACAAAATAGGTCATTTATTGTATGAAGAATTCAATTATTTTGTGCATGGATATATTTCCCAAGTGGCATGAGGAAATTAGACTAACGTAAGCTTTTATATTATACATATATCTAAGTGATGTAATGGTCTTTCTTTCGAAGAGATGATGGGAAGGGCGGGGGCAGTTGGCTGTGGAACAATGTGATTTATTTGGTGCCCTTGTGGGGCCTGGTAGGTTAATGTCCGTCACTGGGTCTCGTAGAGAGAGCACCATCTGCTCCATATTACACATGCTCTATCCTGTTCTCCATACAGCTCTGTCGTGATTGGTCTGGCATGATAAGTAATGCATGTACAGTATGGTGTAAGCCATCTATGTTTGGGCAAATCAAGGAGTTGTTTGTTTATGCGACGATTGTCGAGATATGTGAATTGAATGACGATTGCTAGACAATCATAATTGTATGTGTATGTTGGTGATTAATACTGGCCTAGGTGTGATTCTTCCCATTAGTCTCAGACCTTTCAGCAGCCAACCTCCTGGTTTCTTTGACTCCTGCGTTCAGATATTTATCCAAACATAATTGCCATGGGCTTTCCTGCTGAAAGACTTGAGGGTGTCTACAGAAACAACATCGATGACGTAGTACGGTAAGGACTTAAAAAACCTAAATGTGCATGTTGATGTCCCTGTCAAAATAATGAAGGGTTTCTTAGAATGTAAAGGAATGAAATGGGCTACATGTAAATGAAAACAGCAGGTAGTTAACATGTACGAACTACCTTAACCAAACCATTCTTAAACCTAATTTGCACAACCCTTGGTAAACTAGGCCTATCTTTGGTCTCGTCTTGTTTCTCACTGATTATCATTATATGGGCGACAGTGGTGAGAATAGGATGTTTGAAATGCATGCTGTCATCCCAGCTTCAGAGGCTTGCCTGGTTTGTCAACTGAAACCAAAGGGGTGACCTGCAAGCCACCTGTGAACTTAACCTAACCCTGCTTGTTGTATTGTCCAAACAATTTCCTTCGATTTACGCAGGCTGTAGACACAGAAAGTTGCAGGCTTTTGGAAATGTGAACAGAAAAAGCATCCTTCATCATTTCTCAGAAGCTGTAGTTTTTAGATGTGTGAACCAACCTGAGCGACCAACATGCCCTACTGATAGCAGGGTTCAAAACTGCAACCAAAACAGTCGCATCTGCGACCGTTTGACTTGGCTGTGCGACACATTAATTATTATTTAATATTTTTTGGTTTTGTTAATTTACCTCCTTTTTTCTCCCGAATTTCGTGATGAAGATCTTGTCTCATCGCTGCAACTCCCCAACGGGCTTGGGAGAGGCGAAGGTAGTCATGCATCCTCCGAAACATGACCCGCCAAGCCGCGCTTCTTTAGAGGTTAACACCCGCTCGCTTAACCCGGAAGCAAGCTGCACCAATGTGTCGGAGGAAACACTGTTTAACTGACGACCGAAGTCAGCCTGCAGGCGCCCCGGCCCGCCACAAGGAGTCGCTAGATCGCGACGAGCCAAGTAAAGCCACAACGCCCCCCCCCCCCCCCCCCCCCCCCGGCCAAACCCTCCCCTAACCCGGACGACGCTGGGCCAATTGTGCGCCGCCCTATGGGACTCCCGGTCACGGCCGGTTGTGATACAGCCTGGGAACGAACCCCAGGCTGTAGTGACGCTGCAACACTGCGATGCAGTGCCTTAGACTGATGTGCCACTCGGGAGGGAGGCCTGCGACACATATTATTTGTTGGTCGCAAGGGTGCCAGTGATTTTTCTTTTTTTTTCTTTTCTTTTCCTGGTCACGTTAGTCTTTGGTTCACAATTACCATTTTTATCATGATTTATTCAAACAGTAATGTGCAATTGACCAAAAATAAACCAACAACAGCACGGGAATGCCCCTGTCTGTGTGTGTCAGGGCTCAACATACGGGAGGTTTTGGAAACCCTACGGGCCAGTCTATCGTCCCCGTCAGTGGATGCTTGGCCCAGTGAGAAAAATATTGTAATAATGCTATTTTTAATCTAGGCTATAAATGCTAAGAAAACAGATGGATTCCCGAAGCTGTTCGTTATGTCGGTTTATTTATCACACGCTCGCTGCGCACACGCAGCCTATAGATTATCTGTCAAGCAGAGAGAGCACTCAGCCCTCCAACAGCTGGTTGTTGCGTGGAGCGAAAACCAACAGCGGGAGTGGTAGGAAAGATGTTCCAAGTTATGATATCTACCAGTAAATGCTAAGGCAATAATGGGTATGCAAACCAGGTATTTAAAAAGTTCAAAATCATGGTTGAATATTTGTTCTACTGCTACAATATAATTATTCTGTGAGTTCATTTCTGATCAGTTTTTCTGAGAGTTGTAGGCGCTTTCGTTTGTTTCCCGCCGTTTCAATTGAAGGGTGTTGCACTAGTCTATTGCGGTAAAAACATGTGCAGTTATTATGAGCAACACATCGAATGTTGGCTTCAACTTGGTTTTCCATACAAAGCATTCCATTACAAAGGAAACCCAGATTTCTTGTCGCTTTCTCATTTTAAAACATGATACAGTAACCTCACAATAACTCTTAAACATCTCAAAAGGGCGCGACTGACTAGCTACCACATGGACAGATATAATTAGTGTGTTTGTGTCGGGAGCATGCTGTCTTTAGTCAGGCAATGTCCACATTATTCTGACATATTTTAGAATGTAAAAGTAATGTCAATGCATAATGCCATTGGATAGGCCTATTAAAATGCATTATTCTTAGTGGTAATGCATACTACTTTTGCATACATTTTGGAGGGAGCTTTTTTCTATAGGCTATTACAACAGTTCATTATAAAATATAGGTCCTTGAACATTACAATTAAGTGCTTGGAAAAGTCCTTGAATTTGACTTGCCAATGTCTGTATGAACCATGTATAGGCAATTTGCTCAGCCCGCAAATGAAAGATAAAATCACCTGCTATTGAAATTATGCACGCATCATTCGCTTTCCTGTCAGGTCTTGACCCAGGCCAGTATTTTTTTCATTTGGGCCAGTAGCTTTCAGTTGGCACTGGCTGGTGTGCCACTGGCAAATGTACCTGAATGTCCAGTCCTGCTGTGTGTGGTGCACGTTGGACCTATATATCGGCCACTTTATGTAGCTGTTAGCGATGCTAATGATGGCCTAACCGTTTTCGGATAGATGGAAAGGCAATTAAAATGTAACTACAAAGTAGCCTTTATGCCTACCAGGCAGAATCATGATTATTTGCATAAATCCAGTAGCCATTTATGTAGCCATTTGTTTTAAAAACTCCATCACATGTGCTCTAAGAAATACTGCTAGCCAAACACTACTGTCTGGCTGGTGCTCACCTGATTTTAAAGGATAACTAAACAAAAAAAATCTAAATTCCAAAATCTTCCAAGCTATCAATGGTCTGATGTGTTTAAAGCACTTTTGCTTCACATCCAATTTAGTCAGTCCTACACGCTTTATTTGATTTTTGCAGTCGTTATTAAGTATAGTTTTGTCAAATTCTGCCCTCTAGAGGATTTCGCAGGAAATAACACATGGCACTTTGAAATCTGCAATAAATTCATTTTGCACTTTATTTTAAGTCTCTTTTCTTTGCTGTTACAGTAAATCTATCCAAATCAATATAAGAACACAAGGGCATGCTAATTTAAAAGATGGCTAGTGATTATTAGCCTGGTTCTGTATGGAATGGAGGCACATTATGGGACACAGGCCATTATCAATTATTTAAAACAATTGGTGCGACCAAATCATGGGCTGGTGCCACCAACTGAAAAGGTTGGTGTCACCAGTGGAAAAGGTTGGTGTCACCAGTCGAAAAGGTTGGTGTCACCAGTGGAAAATGTTAATGTAGAACCCTGGATAGTCAATGTTGTAACACTATTATTTAGCTTGTCTGAGAGCCTGTCAGTCTGCCCCTATGACATGCTGTCATTACACTCTGCATAAGCTAGTGATTTAGAGGGCAGTTAGTTAGTGTTGAAAGGTTTAGATCGGACCAGAATCTGCGAAAAATGTGTTCCGGATGGAAAAGTAATTCTCCTCTTCTCTCTCTCCTCAGGTTTCTGGACTCTAAACACAAAAATCATTACAAGATATATAATCTGTGAGTACCCTGCTATCTGACTATTTTGCTTGTGCATATGCAGTATGGTCAGCGGCGGTTGCTGTGCTGCAAAGTTATGTCTGATGCGTGCAGAAAATGTCTGTAGAGTATAGGCCTGGAGGAAGAAAAAGTCCTCATGTTTTTGAGAATGCAAACCGCAGTAGCAACAGTAGCCACTTATTTGCCTTTAGTCATCAGTGGTTCTTGATGGATAGGCCTAAGCATTGTGATGAAGGGGTAGAACAATCATATCATGGTAACCTTTGGCATAGTTTTACCCTGGAAAGGGAATTTACGACAATGTATTCCTCACTCAGTATAAAGTCGTTACTGAGTAGACTGGCTTTAACTGAATGACTCACTGCGTTACAAAGATACTGAAGACCACAGGTTTCTCATTAACCAGCTTTCCATCCAACCTTTTTATGGGAGTAGTAAAGTATATGTTGGATAAAAAATGGCACGACAAGCCTGATGGAAACAGCAAATGTATCGGTAAACTTTCCAAATGTCAACAAAACAAAATACGCTAGACAAGGTGGGATCTTTTTGTGTCGGTAAAATTAATTATGTGAGAAATGGCGGAGGAAATGCTTTTATGCACATATTGATATAATAACCATCATATCGACGTAAACTTGGAGTCATGCGATGATATATTGTGTGGTCCTCCCACTACAACTCGGGAAAGCATGCAGTTTATTATGCTACAGGTTAAATAAGTTACGATGAACTTCACAGGGTGGTGAAAGTGCACAGTGATGAGCTTGATTCTCCTTTCTATTAAATATCAAGGGTTTTATTCTGGTGACATGATGATCGATGCTTGGCTGCTGTTTGACAAATAAAAATCTAGCTATTTTGTCTATAATAATCTCATCTTGTGTGCTATACCCGCACTGTATCTGCAAGCTGTTGGCTAGAGTGCACGTGCCAAGACCAGAGTGGGCAAATTCGCAATATAACAACAACTTTTTTTGTGACAACCATCAGTACTGTTGAAAATACGATGGAAACCCATTTAACTTGTATTTTTTATTCAGTACGTGGGAATTTCACCGCAAGTTATTTTTACGTGCACTATGTCATCATGCACAGCCTTTTATCCACAACAATTCAATTTGATGGAAACACATCTCTGGTGGAAAAATGACAGACCGATTTGTACAAAAGAAAGAAGGCTTCTGTTTGTATTCCAGTATTATAACAACGTATTTTGTTTGTCCCTTTTTATAGGTGCGCTGAGCGACATTATGACGCAGCCAAATTCAATTGCAGAGGTTAGATATTACATCACAGGGAAACCATTATCACTGTCATTCAGGCAGTCATTGAATGAATGAATCTTTCACTAAAAACCCACGTGTGACAATAACTAACTCAGCCCGGAACCTCTCTCCCTCTCTCTCCAGTTGCACAATATCCGTTTGAAGATCACAATCCACCCCAGCTGGAGCTGATCAAACCGTTCTGCGAAGATCTTGACCTGTGGTTAAGTGAAGACGACAATCATGTGGCGGCGATTCACTGTAAAGCTGGAAAGGGACGTACGGGTGTCATGATCTGTGCTTACCTGTTACACCGGGGCAAGTTCCCTAAAGCACAAGAAGCTCTCGACTTCTACGGCGAAGTCAGGACCAGAGATAAGAAGGTACATTTTATTGTTCCAATCTGGCCGTACATTTTATTGTTCCAATCTGGCCCGCCTACTGTCATGGAAACTGATCATCCCCATTTTCAACTTACCTTGATGGTAAGATAAGGGTTAAAAGGATAAAATGATAATAATGTCAACACCATAGACCTATTCATCATGGGTGTTGCTAGTATCTCTAATCTTAATTTTAATTGTAGGCTACATTATGAATAGTTGCAGGAGTCGAGGCTTCCCTTCCTAGCTTTAACATTTTTGAGGATCATATAAAGGCTTGTCGTCATGATTTGATCTTTCAAATGGAAAAGATCCTCTTTACTGACAGTGAAAATCTTCAGTTTCACTAAGTGTTTCTCTTTGGCGTTCCACAGGGAGTGACGATCCCCAGTCAGAGGCGGTATGTCTACTACTACAGCCACCTTCTCAAGAACCAGTTGGAGTACAAACCAGTGGCTCTGCTGTTCCACAAGATAGTGTTCGAGACGGTGCCCATGTTCAGTGGCGGAACGTGTAGTAAGTGCTTTCTCCTTGTCATTGGTCTCAATCCTGTTTCATTCCTGTATGCTGTCTTACCTTGGGCTTGTGTGCTACTGGCTTTCCCACACTTTCACAATATGATCTTCAGTTGATTGTCCTGCCCCTGTCCGCTGCTTTGCTCTGTACAGCTTTGCTTCTCCATGTTGCATGTTTTTTGCCCTTTTCTCCATGCAACGCTGACATTAACCACAGTGGAACGTTTTGCAATTATTGTTATGCTAGTCAAAACAGCATGGTGTATTTTCACTGCTATTATTTGCTTGGCTCACTGGTCATTTGACTTGGATGCATGCATCATCAGAGATAAGGGGGTTTATACCTTGCTGGATAGCCAGAAGACAACTACGGAGCTATGATATAACAACCCCCTTTGTGTGATTCTGTCGTCAGTGGCTGCTCTTGTCAGCTGTGTCTGGCGTTTCACCTCTTCACTTCCTTTATCCACATTTTTCGGACACTTCACCTGTCCCTTTAGCGGGCCCTACAGGGATTACCTATTGCCTGGGGCAAGTGAACTGAGCAGTCGCTCAAGTTGAGCCTGCTCTGATGTTGCCCCATTGGGCAGGTGATATTTTTCAAAAAGAAAAAATGACTAAACAGCAAATAATTCCAGTAGCCTAAAACGGATCTTTCTGGTTCCTCCCCATTGTTTAAGTGAAAGACAGACAATTTATGGCATTCTGGCAAGTTGAGCCTGCTCTGATAACAACCAAAATAGAAAGAATTCCAGTTATAATCTTTCTGATTCCTCCCCACTATGTGTAGGTGATAGGCAGGCAAAATATGGCACTTCTGCCTGTAAGTAATTAATTGACATTTTCGGGCAAGTGGTCATAATCTTCTGGGCAACCAAAACATACTCCTGACTTGCTTGATTGGCCAGTGCCTTTCAGACTTTAATGTCAATTCCTGGCCCTATTCTGAACACACACCCACAGCATGACATGAGCCCCCCTCAGCCTATGTGGTCAGTTCCAATGGCACAACACACAAAATATTGAAGTGGTTTTAATTTAATCAACGCCCAAGCCCCCGCCCCTTTCCCTTATAAAATCTTAGTGAGTAGCAGCAATGTAAAGATTGTGTTTTCTGTCCGTTTCTTAGATTTTTTTTTTGCTGATGCTTATTTAGGCCTATATGTTAGGAGATGCATTAATATGAATATTATGATTGATTTAAGGGATGTTACGTAATTATTATACTGGTTAAGTTCCTAATAACTTGACAACAGGAAGTTGCTGTTCGCATGTTGAGATGGTGAGTTAGGATCGGTTTATGGGTGGTTGTAAGCATGTATACAGTATGTTTGTACATAGCCCTGATGATAACCCACCCACCCCCTCCCTCCCAAGCCCAGGCAGGGCAGCAGAACTCTGTGTTAATCTCCTTTTTTTTCTCTCTCTAAGGGGACACTTCCGTTAAAAACAAGAGTGAGCAGATTCCACATGGTTTCAGAAAAGGGAATTGGCACTGGGGTAATGATAATCAGCTTTCATTCCATGTTTACATGTTGACTAGGAGGTTGTTGTAGATTTAGAAGTCAGTGTTGTTGGAGTAGTTGGAACTTAATATGGTAACAATCAACTCTGCATCCCCCACAACTCAGTGGACTGATTCTAGGCTAGAAGTGCTCCCTTAAACAAGCTTGGTTTTGGTCAACTCTTCTCAGAGTAGGGCCCTTATCGCATGTTACTGTAACAATCTTTTCTATATTTAATATTCCTGGCAGTGGTACTATGTAATTCTGTCCCTTTTTCTGCTGTCCTCCTTTCATCATTTGCCTAGATGTAAATAATAGGTACCCGGTTGTAGTTGCTGTGATGTGGTCTCTCCACCCACCAACTCCACCCACCAAGAGAGGGACTGGTGTTAACTTGTTGTGCTCCCCCACAGATCCTCAGTTTGTTGTGTACCAGCTCAAGGTAAAGATCCACACGTCCAACCCGGTGAACACACGGCGGGAGGAGAAGTACGTGTTCTTCGAGTTCCCCCAGCCGCTGCCTGTGTGTGGAGACATCAAGGTGGAGTTCTTCCACAAACAGAACAAAATGATGAAGAAGGTATGGTTCTTGATTGTATGATTGATTTATATGCATATTAAATGAGGTGTTGTAGCAGCCTATTCCGATTAACTTTGAGGGATGGCAGGATTTAACTGAAAAACACATGAGTTGTGATTTTTGATTGGAGTATAGTCTGCATTTGTGTTGTGGTTGAGATGATGTAACTGCTTTTTGGAGTCATGTCTTGCCTTTATTCACCCTTCCCTCCCCCATGTATTTTTCCATCAGGACAAGATGTTTCACTTCTGGGTGAACACCTTCTTCATCCCTGGACCGGAGGAGAAAGTGGAGAACGGGACGTTACCGAAGGAGCAGGAAGGAATCCAAACCACAGGAGGAACGGGAGACAACGACAAGGATTGCCTGATCCTCTCACTGACGAAGAACGACCTGGACAAGGCCAACAAGGATAAAGCAAACAGATACTTCTCCCCCAACTTCAAGGTCAGTCAGGTGATTGAGACTTAATTTCATTGGGGGGGGGGGGATATCCTTTTGATTAATATTTGGGAAAGAATGTGACTGTTTGTGCCAAGATAATTGCTCTCATGAACTTTTGCTGCAATTCATGAGAGCAAAAAATTGTATTTAGATTAAAATGTTGTTTCCGCTTGGTATACACTACCAGTCAAAAGTTTGGACACACCTACTCATTCAAGGATTTTTTACATTGTAGAATAATAGTGAAGACATCAAAACTATTAAATAACACATATGGAATCATGTAGTAACCAAAAAAGTGTTAAACAAATCAAAATACATTTTATATTTGAGATTCTTCAAATAGCCACCCTTTGCCTTGATGACAGCTTTGCACACTCTTGGCATTCTCTCAACTAGCTTCATGAGGTAGTCACCTGGAATGCATTTCAATTAACAGGTGTGCCTTCTTAAAAGTTAATTTGTGGAATTTCTTTCCTTAATGTGTTTGAGCCAATCAGTTGTGTTGTGACAAGGTAGGGGGGGTATACAGAAGATGGCCATATTATGTCCATATTATGGCAAGAACAGCTCAAATAAGCGAAGAGAAACGACAGTCCATCATTACTTTAAGACATGAAGGTCAGTCAATACGGAACATTTCAAGAACTTTGAAAGTTTCTTCAAGTGCAGTCGCAAAAACCATCAAGCGCTATGATGAAACTGGCTCTCATGAGGACCGCCACAGGAAAGGAAGACCCAGAGTTACCTCTGCTGCAGAGGATAAGTTCATTAGAGTTACCAGCCTCAGATTGCAGCCCAAATAAATGCTTCACAGAGTTCAAGTAACAGACACATCTCAACATCAACCGTTCAGAGGAGACTGTGTAAATCAGGCCTTTATGGTTGAATTGCTACAAAGAAACCACTACTAAAGGACACCAATAAGAAGAAGAGACCTGCTTTGGCCAAGAAACATGAGCAATGGACATTAGACCGGTGGAAATTTGTCCTTTGGTCTGGAGTCCAAATTGGAGATTTTTTGTTCCAGTCTTTGTGAGACGTGGTGTGGGTGAACGGATGATCTCCGCATGTGTGGTTCCCCCCGTAAAGCATGGAGGAGGAGGTGTTATAATGTGGGGGTGCTTTGCTGGTGACACTGTCTGTGATTTATTTAGAATTCAAGGCTACCACAGCATTCTGCAGCGATACGCCATCCCATCTGGTTTGGGCTTAGTGGGACTATTATTTGTTTTTCAACAGGACAATGACCCAACACACATCCAGGCTGTGTAAGGGCTATTTTACCAAGAAGGAGAGTGATTTGAGTGCTGCATCAGATGACCTGGCCTCCACAATCCCCCGACCTCAACCCAATTGAGATGATTTGGGATGAGTCGGACAGCAGAGTGAAGGAAAAGCAGCCAACAAGTGCTAAGCATATGTGGGAACTCCTTCAAGACTGTTGGAAAAGCATTCCAGGTGAAGCTGGTTGAGAGAATGCCAAGAGTGTGCAAAGCTGTCATCAAGGCAAAGGGTGGCTATTTGAAGAATCTCAAATATAAAATATATTTTGATTTGTTTAACACTTTTTTTTGGTTACTACATGATTCCATATGTGTTATTTCATAGTTTTGATGTCTTCACTATTATTCTACTATGTAGAAAATAGTAAAAATAAAGAAAAACCCTTGAATGAGTAGGTGTGTCCAAACTTTTGACTGGTCCTGTAGATCTGTTGCCATGTTTCAGTATATGGATAATGATGTTGTGTTTTCTCTGGTCCTGTAGATCTGTTGGCATGTTTCAGTATATGGATAATGATGTTGTGTTTTCTCTGGTCCTGTAGATCTGTTGGCATGTTTCAGTATATGGATAATGATGTTGTGTTTTCTCTGGTACTCCAGGTGAAGCTGTACTTTACCAAGACTGTGGAGGACCCCTTCAACTCTGAGGCCAGCACTTCCACCTCGGTAACGCCAGACGTTAGTGACAACGAGCCTGACCATTACCGATACTCTGACACCACAGACTCTGACCCGGAGAATGAACCGTTCGACGAGGAGCAACACACACAAATAACGAAAGTGTGAGAGATTTCTATGGGAAGAAAAAATAAATGAAGAAGGAAAGAAAATTACTACTTTCAGAGGGAAAAAATGAGAACTTGAATATAAACTGAAAAGCAAGTACCTTTTCCCCCACCAACCTATGGCAGCAAGACATTTGCGTCATGGAAAATGCCACCAATTTAAGAACAATAATGCTGACCAATTTTATTTTACTTTTTTACTTTTTTGCCCCGCCCCCACTCTTTCATCTGAAAAGTATTGACACCGTTGTTGAGTGGAAAAAGGTTCAGTAGCTGTAATGTAATATACCTTTTTTTGTCAAAGACTAGAGAAGAAGATTTCCACGATCAGGAGATGTGAGATCTGGTATGGGAGAGGCTTATTGGAGATCTACATTTGGCTGCTCCATCTCCTGTGGAAACCAAGGCCAGTGCTTCTGTCACTTTCTCCCCCTTCATCCATTGTCCTCCACCACGCCCCTACCATCCCATTCATCCTACCTACTGTGAATGCTTCTTGTGCTTTTTGCAGGCTGTCTCACATGAGTTTGTGCAGTATAAACTGCATGTTAGAATTTCTCCAGTTGAATTTTGATTATTGTTATTATCAATATTATTAAGCTACATGACATCTAATCAATGTCCATTCCTTCTACCATTTCTGTTCAAGGTATGCAGAAAAGCAGTATCCCATGTATTGTTGATGTTTTTATGTTAAGATAAATAATATAACACAAAACTGCAGGGAAGCCAGTGTTGCAATAACGTTAACACTATAGTTAAACGACAAACAGTGTGCATGTTATTGGAATCATTGTCCATCTTGTTTAATAAATTGTATACAATGTTTTTCAACAACAACAAAAAGATTTCTAAAGTCATTTAAGATCGGATTGTATTTAGCCAGGAGGTCAAAGATTACATCCTTTATTCTCATGGTATCTGCAGGTATGATTTCAGTCTTTTGGCAAGCCATTTAGAATGACCTTGTGTTTTTATGATACAGTACATGGCGTTTCCCTTCATTTTAATGGTAACCGGACACAGTTTTGGTGATCATCACAGAAGACAATAGTATAGGGTGCTGACTGACTTGATGGTTCATGTTTTGAATTGGTGACTACTTCAGTGTGTCATGTGCTTATAGAGAGGTGATCTCTTCCAAATGTGTACCTTTTTAACATGCCGTACTAGAACATGTATCAAACCCTGCATTAGTGTTTCTGTGTTGGTTTCTCCTCAGTCTCTAGAAAGTTTAGTTTTTTGACAAACTGCACTTTTGTCATCTTAGTATGTGCCTGGAGTGTTGGTGATGGTGACCTATTATTGATGAGTGTTCAGTAAGGCCCATAGGCTTATGCTTGGTAAGAGACCATGGGAGCAGAGGTATTGAATGTAATGCTTTGTCTCTGAACCGATCCAGGGGTGTTAATGCAGGTTTTGATCAACCCAGGAGTGGATAATATGTGAACTAGGTATCTTTCTCTTGTGAAATCAGATCTTTGGCTCTTTGACTGACTTGTTTGCAGCCTTATCGTACTTGGTCCTATGAGATCCGGATCACTTGAGGGCAATACCACAGAAACAGAGTGATGCTGAGAGTCAAATGTTTTGCAAACCATACAACTCTATGCACAAGGACTAATTTTAACAATTTCCACAGAAGATTTTACAAAAACACATTTACTTGAAGGACAGTCCAGATGTAAAGTTTGGTAACAGAATGATTGCACCAACTGCACAAATCATCATTCTGTTACTAAATTTGCATCTGCACTGTTCTTCAAGTAAATGTGTTTTTGTAAAATCTTCTGTGGAAATTGTTAAAATTAGTCCTTGTGCATAGAGTTGTATGGTTTGTTTAACTTTGCAATCATTGATTTTTGACATTTTAAAGTGAAAAATCTTAACTCCGCATCACTCTGTTTCTGTGGAAATGCTTTTGTATATCCAACAAAAGGTGCTTACAAACTGCATACTTAAGATCCAATAATAACAACAGAGCCAAGAATATGTTCCAATCATATGGTGCAAGTAACTTCAGTGGCATACACTACTTCTGTGTGTGAGAACTGTTAACGTTCACGGCCACGTGCATACTTCTGTAGTCTTCTGCAGTCCATAACTGGCTGGGGTTCTTTTACTTTTCTGGGGGGTTTTTCAGTTCTTTTCCTTTTTACAAACAGGTTTCATTTCGTTGAGGAATGAGAATAGTGCAGCTACAGATTTTACAGAAAGTATTGTGCTTGCTTCAGATATATATGTGTGTACCAGTGAAAAGTTTGGACACCTACTCATTCCCGAGTTATTCTTCCATTTTTACTATTTTCTACATTGTAGAATAATAGTGAAGACATCAAAACTATGAAGTAACACATATGGAATCATGTAGTAACCAAAAAAAGTAGCCACCCTTTGCCTTGACAGCTTTGCACACTCTTGACATTCTCTCAACCAGCTTCATGAGGTAGTCACCTGGAATGCATTTCAATTAATAGGTGTGCCTCGTTAATTTGTGGAATTTCTTTCCTTTATGCGTTTGAGCAAATCAGTTGTGTTGTGACAAGGTAGGGGTGGTATACAGAATATGGCCCTATTTGGTAAAAGATCAAGTCAATATTAGGGCAAGAACAGCTCAAATAAGCAAAGAGAAATGACAGTCCATCATTACTTCAAGACATGAAGGTCAGTCAATACGGAACATTTCAAGAACTTTGAAAGTTTCTTCAAGTGTAGTCGCAAAAACCATCAAGCGCTATGATGAAACTGGCTCTCATGAGGACTGCCACAGGAAAGGAAGACCCAGAGTTACCTCTGCTGCAGAGGAGAAGTTCATTAGAGTTACCAGCCTCAGAAATTGCAGCACAAATAAATGCTTCACAGAGTTCAAGTAACAGACACATCTCAACATCAAATGTTCAGAGGAGGCTGTGTGAATCAGGCTTTCATGGTCGAAGTGCTGCAAAGAAACCACTTCTAAAGGACACCAATAAGAAGAAGAGACATGCTTGGGCCAAGAAACACGAGCAATGTACATTAGACTGGTGGAAATCTGTCCTTTGGTCTGATGAGTCCAAATTTGAGATTTTTAGTTCCAACTGCCGTGTCTTTGTGAGACGCAGAGTAGGTGAACGGATGATCTCCGCATGTGTGGTTCCCACCGTGAAGCATGGAGGAGGAGGTGAGATGGTGTGGGGTGCTTTGCTGGTGACAAGGTCAGTGATTTATTTAGAATTCAAGGCACATTTAACCAGAATGGCTACCACAGCATTCTGCAGCGATACGCCATCCCATCTGGTTTGCGCTTAGTGGGACTATCATTTGTTTTTCAACAGGACAATGACTCAACACACCTCCAGGCTATGTAAGGGCTATTTGACCAATAAGGAGAGTGATGGAGTGCTGCATCAGATGACCTGGCCTCCACAATCACCTGACCTCAACCCAATTGAGATGGTTTGGGAAGAGTTGGACCGCAGAGCGAATGAAAAGCAGCCAACAAGTGCTAAGCATATGTGGGAACTCCTTCAAGACTTTTGGAAAAGCATTCCAGGTGAAGCTGGTTGAGAGAATGCCAAGAGTGTGCAAAGCTGTCATCAAGGCAAATGGTGGCTACTTTGAAGAATGTAAAATATATTTTGATTAGTTTAACACTTTTTTGGTTAATACATGATTCCATAGGTGTTATTTCATAGTTTTGATGTCTTCACTATTATTCTACAATGTAGAAAATAGTAAAAATAAAGAAAAACCCGGGAATGAGTAGGTGTCTCCAAACTTTTGACTGGTACACTATATATATATATATATATATATATGAGCATATTTAGATATGCATAATTTCTTTTAAGCATGCCAAAAAAAATTGTAACACCTGACCTGTGGCATACCACGGGCCAGACCAAAAAATCTTCAGTCTCTTGGGCAGGAATCTTCAGCGGGTAGTGATGTAAGCTGCCTTTTCTTGTACTTTTGACATTAAGGCTTCCCTCTTTTCACCACCCCATCGCACATTCTGTTTTATCTCGCCTTGTTTTAGAAATAATACTTTCCCTAGGTGTCAGAAGGAGACTTTTCTTCATCGCAAAATGTACACTAGCTAACCCAGGAACACCTTAATCTAGATGTTATTTTTTTGTTTACATTTTATTACATCACTGAAAACCTGCCAAATGTACACTTTTTTTATTTTAGTTTTTTCGTTCTTGGAGGCGGGGCCTATGGGAGGTATTCTTTGCCTTACTTGAAGTTGACAATGCTTACTCTGCTACTGCTTTGAAATCTACCATTCTGCCCAAGCACTGACTTGATAGTTAAAGTACTTATTTAAAGCTACTATTAATAGAGCAACATATTGTACTAGACTTTTGCACTGTTACAGGTTTTTGCAGGGTTTCAGTCAGTGGTCCACAGTATTCCCCCCGTTGTTCCCCTCAGTAAAACAAATGCCTTGCAATCAGTGAAAGAAGGTGGAATAATATGGCTAGTTGTACCTTAATCTTGTATCCATGCATCCCCTTAGATACAAAAAGGTGTTACTTTGTCCTGACCCTTTTATTATCAAAAAAAAGAAAGAAAAAAAGAATAAAAACATCTGGAGAAAAAAAGGAATAAACTATTTATAACAGTATTGTTATTTCTTTTTATCCCGATTAGTATATCTGAATCATATGCTTACTATTCTGGATGTTCAGCAGCTTAAATGTATGAATCTATTCAAGGGTATCCCTGTTAAGGAGCTTATTTTAAAGTAACTGTCCAGTGAAATTCTAACTTTTTAAAGTTCATTTTCTGTAAACTCCTACCCATATAATGTTGATTCGTCTTATACTCATATTTGTGGCCAAAGCATACATTGGAGAAAAAAATGACTTAACACCTTGTCTCTCAAACAGACTGTTTAAAAAATGCTTGTCATTTCCTCATAGAGAATGTCATCCTACCTTATTGGCTGAGCTGGCCAATCAGTGGTCTACTCGCATAAATATTTTTAATGACCGATATATGCCCACACCA